CCTTAAACTGGAGCCCTATATGAAAGCACAGCACAATAAGATAATGCTAAACAAATATATTAGCACTTTAAGCACAAAAACATTATAAACAATATATATTGGTAAATATATAAAAACAGGGGTAAATCAGAATGCAGGCAGGATCTAGGGTTGCAGATATAAGTAGGTCTCAGGGAGCAGGCAAGCCACAGGAATTGGCAGCAGGCAAAGCACACGAATTAGGGAGCAGGCCTTGAGGAGTCTGGATGGGTAGCAGGCTTCTGGAATCAGGGAGCAGGTCTTCACAGGATAGGAACAAGGCAGGCCTGTGGAGCCAGGGAGGAGGCATTCAAGAAAAACAAGATACATGCCAGGCCTTGTCTTATAAATGGAAGTAAACAAATAAACAACGTGGGTTTAGAATCAGAGCAAGACAAATTTGTGGCACTATGAGGTACTGCATAACATTAAATAGATCTAAAAATCAGGATGCCCCCTGACAGGAATAGAGGACATTTAGACATAAACTTATAGACGATTATGGGAATTATTTACTAAAGTCTGTTTTTTATTTTTTAAACTACTAATTAAGGATTTTTTTTATTTTAATAGATTTGTCTTGGAAGTTGACAGGGCTGCTTTAACGTGTTAGTGCATTATTACTGTGGTTATTTTATACAAAGGACAAAGAACTCATTAAAGTGAATACAGAATACAACATAAGACTTTTTTTCATTAAGCAGTGAAAAGACAAAAACAGTTCAGCAAAATGCAGGCTGAAACAGTCAAGCTGGGAATTCTGGAGTTATATTTTCCTAGGTAAGACTTTTTTTGCCTACATTTTGCAATTTTTTTTACTCTTAATAAAAAGATGTATTGAAAAATTACAGATCCGTTATCAATAATATGCATTTTTTTTTGTGGATGTTCGATTGGTGTTTAAAACCACACTTTACAAATTAACAGTCTTAGTTTGCTTGTAATGGCTGTATACACTTACTATTACCGAACAACACGTTATATACTTTTTCAAATTAGGGACCACTACATTGCCGCTTTAGATATCCAACATCAATCCTGAATTAAAGAAAAACTGCAAGCACCACAACGACTTCAGTGTGGTGTAGTGGTTATTGTGCCAGGAGTGACCTGGTAATCCTAAATGAAAGTAGTCAAACATGCTATCTCAGCCAGTGAGCTGGTCCTGCATAGTGACGAGTGAACCAGTTCCCAGGAAACCCCAGGTAACTTATCAAACTTTTAGCAGTAATGGTTTGACTACTTACCGAGGTGGGGTACTCTTGATACCATCACCTCTACCATGTTCTGTGGTGGTTATGGTGCTTATTGTGTTATTTTAAATAAGTAATATGTATTGACTTCTACTGAACAAAACATAAATTTATTCCAAATGAAAACATGTCATCCAAATTTTAGAATAATGCACTTCTCAACTCTTTCCTGTGTATTCATTTCTCATTAGTGCCACAAGGCTATCCAGCATGCGTCCCTTCTCTCTTCTCCTTCCTTGTATTTATTAATATTTTTATTATTATTTATTTACTTCTCAGTTATGCACTGTGTGATAGAAGACATGCACGCAAGGTGGGTATTCATTACCTTTTGTAACACCAAGTCAAGACTGTAGCCGACTCATTCCCTTTTGTTCGGTTATCCATACCCCCTCGTTCGTTATCCGAGGGGATGGTGTGTGGTCCCCCCCTTTATACCTGCCTGAACACCGACCACCCAATGCTGTTAACTGCAATAAACTTGAGTGCATTCCCTGGGTGGCCAGCATTCGTATAACCGAACACACATGTTCCAGGTAGTGGCGCCATTTTGTCTTCCAAACTCAGGCAGCGGGTACATGGTCATCAAGTGCCTGGAACTATTTTCGGCCACGTGGTCTCACTATCACGGGCAACGATTGCACCGCTGCCCATTTAACTTCCCGACCGACTAGACGAACGATGTTTGGGACATAGGAACTACCGACTGGTGGGGCATTAGCTCTCTAAAAGCCAGGGTGAGGGTTCATAGATGTTCGCAAAGGAACGCTCAAAAGTACTTTACCCGAATGGTGGTTCTGTTCTACCGAACGAATCAGCACTATTTGGATATTTTGTGCGCTCATAGCCAGGCTGTTCGGGGATATAAAACTTGTGCCATTTCTGTAAAATATGAATATATTTTGCGGTGTTTAATGTATGTTTCCTGTATTTTCTTGTAACTGAGAGATAATTCAGTTACTCAGTTTTGACTCAATTATCTCTCAGACAATGGGTCGCCTGGGAGGGGTATATTTTGTATGGAGACCCCATGCTGGGGGTCTATGCATAAAAGGCTGTGTTTGAGCTGAATAAAGCAGTTGTACTCCCAGAACTGTGTGTTGTCCAGTTACGGGGGTGTGGGGGGAGTGGGGGGAGATAGAGCTATTCACATTTCAGTGCCTTGTTCCTGAATTCCTGTCTTCACGGATCCAGCGGGGAAAAAGTCCTTGTCAGGACAAGCGCTCTGCTACAGACCATGGAGCTACAACTGCCATCTCTACTTTGTCTCTGTTAGCTTGTCCTTGAGACTGCCTCTCTATCAACACCTAAACAAAAAAATAAGGGAAATAAAAAACAGCTCCCGATGTAGGAAGAAGCCACCCTGTTGCTAAAATTGGGTTGAGGAGGTAAAATGAGCATAACCTAAACTCAACAATTTAGTGACCCAAAACATAATGAAGGAAGGAACCCATCTAATAGAGAGAGAGCCTAATCTCACTGAAATTACCTCCAGTTAAAAATCATTCAAAAGTAATAGGAAACAAAATATATACTTTAGTAAATTGAGAACCAAAGCAAAAACATAAAATAACAGTGTGCAACCCAGTTGAGTGAATTAATTTGTCCAAACATAGACCAGCTAATTGGTTAAAAAGAAACATGGAAAAATTAGGTTACATGAAGATACCTTAATCATAGTTAGACTAATGACAACATTTGAATAGTTGAATACTGTCTGTCTTTAAAAATGTAGAGAATATTAGAATGCGTCTACCGTATATACTCGAGTATAAGTCGACCCGAATATAAGTCGAGACCCCTAATTTTACCCCAAAAAACTGGGAAAACTTATTGACTCGAGTATAAGACTAGGGTGGGAAATGCAGCAACTACTGGTAAATTTCTAAATAAAGTTAGATCCCCAAAAAATTATATTAATTTAATATTTATTTACAGTGTGTGTATATAATGAATGCAGTGTGTGTGTGTGTGTATGAATGCAATGTGTGTGTGTGTATGAATGCAGTGTATGTTTGTATGAGTGCAGTGTGTGTGTGTATGAGTTGAGTGTGTGTGTATGAATGCAGTGTGTGTGTGTATGAGTGCAGTGTGTGCATGTGATGCAGAGTGTGTTTGTGTATGTGATGCAGAGCCTTGGTGGGGGGTGGGCATTTTAATTATTTTTTTAATTATTATTATTTTAATATTTTTTTATATTATTATTTTTATTTTATTTTGTATTATTTAAATTTGTATTTATATTTTTTTCGTCCCCCCCTCCTTGCTTGAAACATGGCAGGGAGGGGGGCTCTCAATCCCTGGTGGTCTAGTGGCATGCGCTGTGTAGGAGGGGGGCTGGCAGAGAGCTGTAACATACCTTTCCTGCAGATCCTGTCAGCTCCCTTCTCTCTCCTCCGGTCCGGTCAGCTCCCCTGTCAGCTCCCACTGCAAGCTCTCGCGAGACTTGCAGTGGAGCTGACAGGGAGCTGACCGGAACGGAGGAGAGAGAAGGGAGCTGACAGGAGCTGCAGGAAAGGTAAGTAAAGGCTTCCTGCCAGCCCCCAACAGGAGCGCGGCGGTCCTGGTCTGTATTATGGCAATGTAAGTTGCATCCATTTATACCAAGACTGTTTAGTTCTTCTTTCACGGTTTGTCACTTGGTTTTATTTTACTTCATTTGATTATGAATGTATGAAACCTGTATCAGTCTGGTGGTGTCCATTGGCTGACAAGATCCAGGAGACCACACTGGTAAAGAAGAGGAGTTTCACATGTTTAGACACAGAGTTCCGTCAACCTAGAGCCTGGGTAAGGCGAGCAAGTTTCTTTATTGGTTATTCTCAAGATTTTTTTTATTGATATACTATGCTATTAGTCTCATCATTTTTCACTCTCTTTGAGAATCTGTGAAGCTACATTTGCAAGTAAGGTGTAGTGCTGATCTAAACCAGTCACTAATAGGCTCTTCCAAATGTGAGTGTGTTGTCTCATAAATTTGCACTGCACAGTTTTTATATATACAATGTTGTATCATATGTTTGTTTTATTTTTTCATGTACACTTTGTAATTTCATACCCCAAACATGAAATAGGGGTAAGCTATTTTTTTTTATTCACTTCACTATCATTTTTGTATAAGTATAATTTTTTTATTGTGTCAATACTTTCCTATGGCGAAGGCCTAAAGCTCGCTCTCTGCCTGCAGAGCGTGCAAATTTGTTTCCCCTATCAATTAAAGTCAGAGGAGGACTTGTGGGGGATGTGGGGGAGGGTAGGGTCAGGGGGGCTGCAGGGGGAGAAGGACTCTATAGTGTTAACAATACAGCTTTATATTTTTAACACTATAGTATTTCTTTAAAGGAGGTTATATATTGTAAATACTTTTTATATTTTTTACCATAATTGATGCTTTCTTAGTGTTTCTAGCCATGTCAACTCCCTTGCATATGGGCTGAAGAGTCACAGTCTATGCCAAGAGTGATAAAGTAAAGTCAATTATTTTTCCGTTTAAACTGTCCTCCAGTTATTGCAGTGTTACACCATCACAACCAGGAATAATGACAAGAATGCTCTAAACTTTGTTAAAATTATATTTCACAATTCTTGATTATGTAACTTGTTACATCTGGATATTTGGTTATATGAAACATCTATGGAGAAGTTTAAAAAAAAAATATTCTGCATTTAGCATTGTCAGCACAAAGTGATAAAACAGAAGTAAAAAATAACTACATATTAAAATTATATTGGCAAGGGAGCCTTTTTGTATATATTTATTGGAATGTAATTGTGCACTAAAAACAGAAGGTCATTCTTTTGATAGGCTTTCTTTTGAATTATACTAAGTTATGCATTGGTACAAAAAGGCATGCTTTGGCACAGGCTATATATATGAAACTTAAATGAAGAGGTTCAGCAAAGTATCCATTCAACACTAAGGCGTCGCTATAATCACTTTATCAGCTTTCAATAAGCCCTTTATCGCTTTAGATCAATTAAATTACCATCAATAAAGGAGGATATACAATTGACCATCCTCCAAACAGTGTAGTTAATTGGACACTATAGGCACCCAGAACACTTCATCTAGGTACCCCATGTTTAGTCAATAGCCCCCACTTTTTTTTATTTAGTAGTGGGGGCCCTACCAGTCGTACCATGGGGTAGACAGTGACTTGTTAACCCACATTATTACATTTTACACCCCCACCCAATACCCATGGGTGGATTACAGAAGAACCTGTGCCAGGTCCCCCTAAATTTTATTAGTGAATGGGTAACAATATTTTATTACAGTGAGCAAGAACTGGATTCCCACTGTTTGGTAGACATGACATTTTGATGATGTTATTGGATTTCGGACAGAAATCCTTATGGACATTTGATTTAACAATTATTTAAATACAAAAAGCAAAGTGAGGAAATCCTTACAAGGAAATTCCTCTAGGGTACTGATATATGAGAGGCTGAAGTAAATAAATGCAATAGTTAAAACATAACAAGGAAAGTATCTATCATGTATATCAAGGCACAGAATTGCATTATAGTGGATAAACTAATAGGCTTTATTATAATTGCCAAAAATGGATTAGCCGCAAATTATGCCAACTATATTATTTAAATACCTTATACTGATTGATGGATAGAAGCTGCAAAGAGGCAAATGTTTTTTTTAGCTTCCAACTGGATTATCAGACAATTTGCCAATAGACTGACATTTTACTTTCAATCTGGTAACATCAATGTTGTTGCAAATTGATTTTATTTCCTTTGTAACCTTTTTTTGCTATTATTTGCAAAAACCTTTACATACCCAATGCAATAAGTAAACAAACTAGTTTTGACTAGCTGTTTTAGATTAAAAAGTGCCCAACAACAAACATTACAAACTGATAACAATTAAAAACAAATGTAAGCATTTTTTGTGTGGATTGTGATAAGTGCATCATGGATGGTTATAACAGATGCTGATAGGCCCATACTAGTTTATACATCATATGATGTGCTGACAATCATTTATACACAATTTTGTGTACCTATAGTGTCTATAAAACAGAAAAAGGATCAATCAGCTGTAATTTGTTCTCAGTATTAGGATTCTGGAGGTTAACTAAAGCCTATAGAATGACTTCCCAGGCTATATAGGGATGGGTTTCTATAGGTCACTAAATTGCCAATTCAAAATTTACTCATAATCCTCTATTTTATTCTTAATCTAAATTCATTTGCATATTGGGAGTTTAAACCTTAGTATATAGCAAAAAAAATGCACAAAATATTTGAGAGATTTAATCATTTATTTAGGTTATGTGATTTTTTTTTTTTTGCAGAAATTATAACTTTGCATTCACATGGATGGCGATGAAGGGATCTTCAGCTGAACTGCTAATCACAAAACGTGCTGAGCCAGTGCTGCTTACAGTGATCTGTGTGCCAGTACAACGTGTGCCTTCTTTCTGCCCTGAGATGACATCACAATACGTACCAGCTGGAAGACCAGTGCTCCGGGTAACATCCATGTTACTAAAACAACAATATGAGATTATGTGAGCAGTGTACTGAAGACAACAGTAAAATATTGCATCTGCGAGTAAAGAGCATGCACAAAATAGGATTACTAAAATACAATTTTATTTGGAAGTCCAAGTAATTTGCATGATTTTTAGTGTTTAAAATTTAGATTCAGATTTTAGAAAACCTTCTAATATCAGTATACTTTGAGCATACACTACTTTTTAAGATCTCCAGAGTCAAGGTAATTATGAAACAAGGACAAAGAAACAAGGCATTATAAAATTTGAAGGATCTCAAGATAATCTCAAGGTATATTATTGACTTCCAGACTCAGTGAGGGATCCAAAAGCATGAATTAGCACATCCAACCTATTAAGTAATAATCTGGTAACACAGCAATTGTATTACAATATGATGTAATGTTATGTACTCACGAGGACTCATTGTTGAAAATGATAAAGCCTTTGTTTCCACGACTAAAGGCAATCTGGTTTCCACCATTATCCCACCAGTTAGCCAAGGCCTGACCATTGACAGCGTTACGGAAGATAACCATGTTCCTGTAAAGAATGTAAATTATTGCTGTGGAACTCATAAGAAATGAACAGTAAAGTTATTTAAAATTATGAAATCTGTATACATGGACTTAAAAACTATCTGAACATGATGATTAAACTCAATGCTGAATTTTGAATGCTTTTTCAATGAATAGTCACTAGAGGGCTTCTTCTACTTACTTAATCTGGCGCCATCTATGTTCACAAACCCAGTCGTTGCCACAAGTAGAGTCTGCATTAATTGTGACAGCCTTGGTTGATCCATCAGAGTTACGTGGTGGTCCAATCCAGTCATTGACGTCCTGAAGAATGATAAAATATTTCCCAAAAATTTCAAAAATATAAAACAAAATGGGAAAATAGATTGCCTGTGACACTTCTTACTCATTTGTGAGTCCAAGCGAGTGGAGAAAACATGCTCTGCTTTTTTTTATTATATATATCATAAACATGGCATTAAAGGAGCACTATAGTGCCAGAAAAGCGAGTTTGTTTTCCTGGCACTATAGTGCTCCTTTAATGCCATTTTTATGATAGGGTTATTAGGTCGCACCCTCAAGAGGCTGGGTTAACCTTCAATGTAAACAGAGCAGTTTCTCTGAAACTGCTATGTTTTCAGCTGCAGGGTTAAAACTAGGGGGACCTGGCACCCAGACCACTTCATTGAACTGAAGTGGTCTGGTGCCTATGGTGGCCCTTTAAGTACCAGTGGCTGTGTTTTTTAGCCATTTTACATAAAAGTGTCTATGTGTAATCAGGTGTGGGGAAACATAAAAAACATAATCCTGTAAAGGGTGAGATTGAATGAAGGGGGAATAGAGAACTGAATTATTTTGGATTCAGATGAAGTAGACTATGCTTGAATGCAAGCATGGCATGAGTGGCATTAGTTGTTAGTTAAAAAATTTTTTTTTTTTACTAAAAAGAGTTTCTGGAATCAAACTTTGTATGATATTTAGTTACAATAATCTAGTTGGAGGCTAGACTGAGGAAAGGAATACAAAAAAAGAAAACTGGTTATGCTCATTTGCAACTATAAGAGTATATGAAAGAGCACATGAAAGAAGATTACCTGTACTAGCTTGTTTTAAAGAACTAAAGCCATACTATGTAATTACCTGAAATATGCATAGTTAATTTACTCTTTCTTGTCCTTCCATCATACTGATCTTGATCATTAAGCATTTTTTTCAGGACATACTATTTCCTGCTGGATGTTGATAATAAATATCACACAATGTTGAAAAAATGCACTTATAGAATCTCACCTTTCCATTTACAAAGTTCCTTGTCCACCGGTAACTTGACATAACACGTGTTAACCCATAGGGATGAGCCAACATGAAGCCAACTCCCATTTTGTAGAGACTGGAGGTAAGAGGCAGATTAAGGATTAAATTAAGTAGCAAACAATGAATAATTTGTTATGTTTTTTTGTTTTTTTTACAGCAAATACTGTCATACCGTGCATCAAAGAAGGTGAGAATGGAGGATCCACCAGCACCATGGCCTCTTTGATTATCATGATTGTCTACAAAGACTAAAGATCTATCGTTTGACATGAAACCCCAGCCTTCTCCCCAATTCCTAGAAAAAAAAGAGAGTGATAAGAATATACTCCATGTTTCAAATGTGCAAGTGCTATAATGCCTTAAAACAGGGCTCCTCAAATTCTGCCACCCTTGCCTCGCCCCCGAAATTTGCAGAACTACAACTCCCATGATTCTCTGGCTATTTGTTTCTTTAAAAGAATCATAGTTGAAGTTGTAGTTCAGCAACATCTGGAGGGGCAGAGTTTGGAGCACCATGCACTGTATCTTACTTTAGGTATGACAACTTCTCTCCATTCCATTTGCGAATGACATTTCCAAGTTTAGCACCATATTTGAATTCTGTTACACGTCCATTTCCAAAATACTCATTTGCTGAAATAGCTTCTCCACCCAAATCAATCACCTGACAAGAAAAGTTAGAAAATATATATCGAAAAAAATATATCTAAGTGTCACATGTCATTGTGGAATACTTTGCAAACAGTGAGCCCAATACAATTATGCCCTTCTTTAAGCATTCTAAATTTGTTTTACTGCATAGTCATTTATTATAACTGACCAAACCATATGTATCTCAGACTTTACATGGTGAAAAAGGAATATAAATGATTATGTTTTGGAGAATGCTTACCCCATTCATTGTTAATATGCAATCCTTTTGAAAATTATTATTACCTCCTGGAAGATGAAAGGTCTGGATCCACTGGCAAACCACTGAGTGTTCAGGTTGTTGAGTTTGCTTGTAATGGCATAGATGTCTCCAGGCCACATATGCTTAGCAGCGTCGAGCCTGAAGCCAGCTACTCCAATACTGATGAGATTGTTTAGATATGCAATGATCTTTCCACGCACATAATCCTTCTCTAGAGCCAGATCCAGAAGGCCCACAAGGCGACAGTTTCTAACCTGCGTACAGAAAAAAGTATATATTTCTATTCCATAAATACCATATAGCAATCATTAGATGAAATCCCTTCATTAAGCACATGTTGCTCCTAAAATGAGTTACACTCATTGAATACAACAATATTATTATTGTTGTTGTATTATAGGCATTATCCAGCCTTTAAACACAATACAATACAATGTAAATACTGTACATTTTGTTACAGAACAAATTATTAGAAAAGAGGACCATTCTCAGATAATATTTTACCTGATTAGCATCACTGTAGTTCTCAATCTCCCCACTTCCAGTTCTGCATTTGCTGTCATTAAAATCCAGATTTGAGTATGGGACAGCTGGGAAATCTTTTGAACCAGCATTGAATGAGCTACCACATGTAGAATGTGTTCCAGATCCACCTCCAGCTCCACACATGTGGTTAATGATAGCATCAACATATATATTGACCTAAAATGGGTTACAATGTGTTAGTAAATCTGGTGCATTTCTTTAAAGCATGTGTCTTTTTCACCGAGTTAGTAAAAAGAGATAGAAATCTATTGTTAAACTGATTTTAGATTGTCTGAGGACACGAAATATTGACTTTTATAAAAAAAGAAGATATAATTCACTGTCTAGTAGATAAATCACCAATGAAAACAAGCATGCCTTAAATGATGCATTTTTTTCATTGACAGTATATTTAGAAGCAGTTTGCAAAATTCTCAGATCTCTTATCTGAAGCCTTTGCAAGCCCTCCCCTTCTAATCCAGCCTAAACCTTTGTTGTTGTCCAAAGTCTTTGCAAGGCAGGTGTGTTATGAGGAATTGTCTGCCTTTTGTGTTTGGCTCCACTAAGCTAACCTATCCATGAGGTAACAGCACTGGTGGTCTTATTACTAACTGGGTGTGTAACAAATGTCTTCTGTAGAATCACTGTACAAATATGGGTTCGAAAATATGTGTCTGCAAACCTTAACTCTCAATGTAGTGGTTCCAGTGCAGGCAGAGCACTGAAAACACTATCTTTTCAGCGAAAAGGCAGTGTTTACATTGCTGCCCAGGAACACCTCTAGTGGCAGTTACTGAAAAGGCCACAAGAGGTGCTTCCTAGTCAAGTGCTGCACAGTGTGCAACACCGATGTTCAGAGTCTTCACATTTGCATGGAGGTGCTGAATGTTCTTGATAAAGGAGCATTGATTCAATACATCTATATGAGGAGATGCGGTTGGAGCAGCGTAGTCTTTTGCAATGCATGTGCAATAGCCTCCCAATGCTTTCCAATAGAGAGAGAGCCAGGCGGGGCCAGCCACGGCAAGACCGATGAAGCGTGGGAGAAAAGGTGAGTTTAAACATCTTTACCATGCAATCTAAGGGGGATCTAAATAGTTAGTTTAACACTATGTTATTAATACATGTTTTTCTATTCTTGACATTATAGCGTTCCTTTAAAACAACTATAAGGTCTTTCGAAACTCTGTTCACTCTTTTTTGTGCACAGAACCTATGCCCCTTTGACCTATGCCAGCTAGCCACCCAGTAGGGCACACACAGCACTAGATTAAAGGAATTGTTGAATTTGCCTCTAAAGAAACTACATAGATATTTGCAGTAACATAAATTTAGATACAATTTAAAGTAATTCTGTATCTGCTATTCCCCCCCCCCCCCAAAAGTCTTATTTATTAAAAAGGTTCATATAAATAAATACAGAATTTACCTGATACCCAACTAAACCTGAATTTCCATGATAAACCACTCAAAAAGTACATACCCCAACTTTATTACATCTGGTAACCATGTCCCTAAATTGTTGTTCATTGCCAGATCGAGTGCACAGCTTGTAGCTGATTGGCTGGTATCTCTCATACCATGGTCTGTAAGGGTTGGATATAACGATGTTTTCATTTGGAGGGGACACCTGTGATGAGATTTAAAAAAACATTTATTGATCGTTATTCTGTAGACGATACACAAGTAAATAATATTATGATCAACAATTAGATAGTTTTGTATGAGTTTGTATTTTTTTTAATTAAAAGTAATTTAAAAAGTTACATTTATTTATAGTTCCCATATTTGATATCACTGGGTTTTGAAACTTCCACAGTGAGCTCTGCACAGACCAAGGATGTTGCTTCCATTACTTTCTATGGCACTGCTGAGCTTATTTAAATCACTGCACACCAGAAAGTTGTAGCCACAGCACGGAATGTTTGGGGAAGTGGTATTTCAGTTACATAGATAAATAGTAAAATAAACTGAAGAAAGTCTTATGTCTATCAAGTTACATCTCACAATTTCTGCTGTTGAAGAAAAAGAATGTGAAAAACCCACTTTGTAGCATTTTCCAATTGTGCCACAAAATGGGGAAAAAAACATTTTTCTCAATTCTAAAATCGTTTTCAGATTTTTCTTGAATCAACAAGCGGTTTCCAAGCTTATTTACTATTAGAGCTCTTAATATTCAGGGTTTTTTTTTTTTTTTTTAAAGCATCCATCCAGGCTATTTTCTAAATCTTTGCAGAATAAAATTAAATACATTTTCAGGCAGATAATTATATATATATATATATAGACAAAGTTATCATATCCCATTTGAGAAACCCTTTCTTTCCTAATATTGCAAGCTTTCATCAGTAGAAACATAGCAACTGATGTACAACAGAAAGAAATGTCTAAGGAGTGGGGGGATTTTAACCGCAGAGAATTTTGCAAATCTCTGCACATATAAGCAGTTGTTGTTCAGACAAACAAGAGGGACTTAAAAGGGGGACTTAAATACAACCTATGCAGTAAACAAAAACTGTTATGGTCCATAAGTGTGTCCTCTTAAGCAGACAGAGGCCTGGATGACTGAACTCACAAAGTCTAGAATAGACTTGACACGTGTCTAGTGGATAACAATGAGCTCCAATTTAGCTGCTTTAGGCTGTATTTTTCTATACCCTTAGTTTTAGTTTTGGAAAAAAAGAGCAGTCAGTGTAGACTGCTGGAGTGACTCTGCTCAGCAATTACTGTCCTCTTTTTATATGCCCTTTCCCCACCATCACAGCAAGAAATACCATTTTGAGAATGATGATCGGCTGTGGCACACAGTCAGCTCCTTTATATTGGAAACATATATTAAATTCATAGGGTGTTACGTATAAAGAATTATTTTGGGGTGAAGTTCTAAAACTGAAGCAATCTGCAAGAACATATTAATGGCTTTCATGGCAATCATTCCACATTTAGAACTTTTCTCATAAAAACTCTTTATGTAAAACCCCCATTGTTTTGGTATATATATATATAAAAAAAAAACATGCAATGTAACTGACAGTTAACCATAGTGAATCTACTTGTCTTTTTCAATTATTTAAGATAGATATTCTTGGATAAATCTACAGTATTGAAAGATTGCAAGAGTGTCAGCTTTTAGTTCACTTACCTGTACACCACCAAAGCCATTGGGTCCCAAATAACGTTCACATTCTGCTGCAATGTCTGCCCAGCGCCATTCAAACAGGTGGACAATAGAAGTCCTGCCAGATTTCAAGTTAGGATTGTACTGGGCAGAGCTGAGACCAGCTAATACAAAGAGAAGTAAGAACTTCATCTTTCCTTCTACTGTAACCCAGAATATTTTCTGCTGCCTTTTATACATCAAGTTCAAAAGGACCAGATGCAAAGTCAGCTTATGTCACTCAGCATAACAGCAGGTGACTGCATGCTAGATATTTCCCACAGTTACATAACAGCAAATATATTGTCGATGGGAAAAGTTACCTTGAGAATGCTATAGCTGAGATTAACGCCAGACATACTATGGCAGAAAATATGAATATTATTCTATTACACACACTGCTGGTCACAATAAGAAAAATGGTATCACAGATACCCAAATGCCTTATTAGACAATGATCTAATTCAGGGTAGAAAAGGAAATGCAGGGAAGCAGCACCATCAGTAATGTCCTCAAATCCAGATAGGGATGGACAATTTTCTGGAGCCTATGTTTGGCTCCACATGTATGCGCCTGAACGGTACGATTTCCCGTCTATGGATATGTTGTTTTTCTTGGTAGTAGGGAGGCGTCTTCAGCAGTAATAGAAATATCGTTTTTCAGTGCTCCACAGTGTAGCAGAAGTCATTGGTGAATAAAATATAAATATAAACAGATTCTAGTCCTCTCTGTATTATTAAAGAGATAAAAGGACACAAAAGGAGAGCAATGTCAAGTATTGCTCAATCCTAATAGGTGTAGGTGGTAATCACTGAGTGAATTATCTGATTAAAATCTCCAAAGGTAAAATTAAGAAGGTCCAAATTCCATAAAATAACTATTTTTATAAGAAAACAACACTTTGAACAATTTTAAAAAGCCTTATTTTGGGTGAAACGCGTTAGTGTTTTTAAACTGTATTTGGTTTTATTATTTATTATAATAATTTTAATTTTATTATATTATAATAATAATAATAATAATTTATTATTAAAGGCCTCGTCTTTGTTGGCTCCTAAGTTGCAACATAGGCTGTCCCAAGCTGTAATCGAGCATCTAATTGGTGATGATGGAGTAAAAGCAAGCTACCCTGTTAAAATTAGTAACATGTTTGCCACTTACTATAAAAAAATGATATAATTTGGCTATTGACCCTACTACTGGACAGCCTATATCTGAAAAAAATATGCTTGTTTCTTGACAGGGTCCCATTGAAACAAATTTCAGCTGATAAATTTAACACTCTAACAGTTCATATTTCCCAAAATGAAATTTTCGATGCCATTAAGGTGATTCCTACCGGTAAGACAGTGGGACCTGACGGTTTCACAATGTCATATATAAGTCTTTCTCATGTATCCTTACTCCCCATTTGACTAAACTATTTAACCATTATTTGAATACGGGAGAGATGTTGAGGGAAGCCCTTAGTGCCCAAATTATTACTTTGCCCAAACCTGGTAAAGTGCCGAACGCTTGTCCAAATTTTCGTCAATTTTCTTGATTAATAATAATACAAAAATGTATTCCAAAATATTGTCTACTAGACTTGCTCAAATTATCCCATTGCTAGTTAATAATGACCAGGTGGGCTTTGTTGTGACTTGGAAAGTACAAGATGTTTCATCAAATTAAATTGAATAGAATGCATTCTCTGCTCCTTTCTTTGGATGTGGAGAAGGCATTCAATAGACTTCATTGGGAGTTTCTGAGGGAGGTGTTCTCGAGATTTAGTATACCCGATCCTTTCATCAGGGCTGTGTTTGCTCTGTACAGTCATCCAACTGCAAGAGTATCGGCGACTGGATTTGTATTTCGTGTTGTCTAATGGGACTAGACAGGGGTGCCCGTTGTCGCCACTTTTATTTGTGTTGGCAATAGAGTCCCTGGCAGAAACGATACGCCAGTGTACTGATATAGAGGGCATAGAGGTAGGAGATAAAGAACACAAAATAGGCCTATTTGCAGATGACATCATGCTTTCTTTGAAAATTCCTTTGACCTCGATTGATCCGCTGATGTCTGTCTTGCAAGAATTTGGTGAAATTTCATTTTATAAACTGACAAAACTCAGGTTCTGTCATTTTTTCCTCCGTGGTATGACTTAGATATTTTAAAAAGAAAGGTTTGACTTTGACTGGAGAGATTCTTAAATATCCTATTTGATCATCAACTTATGCAAGAACCTGTCAAAGATGCATACTTATAACCTGGCCTGAGTCTGGACTGAGTTTAGGGCCGACCTAGAAAGGTGGTGTGGCCTCGAAATTTCTTGGCTAGGTAGGATCAATTTGGTTAAAATGTCTCTCCTTCCCAAAATATTATATTTCATTAGAGCTATGCCTTTATATTTTTATTAGAAAGGTCAATTCTGCCCTGTTGATATTTATTTGGAATAAAAAGCCATGTAGAATCAAACTACCCATTCTACTAAAGCTCAGATGGTGTGGGGGTATGAGTTTGCAAAACTTTGTCCATTACTATCATGCAACAAATGTGATCGGCCCCCTGTGGCTTGAGATGGAGGCAGCTAAGATCACTCCTCACTCTATTAAAGATATTTTATGGCTGACCCTTCTTGACGACCACAGGAGGTGGATATGTACCCATCCACTAAAGTGGCTGTTAAATCATGGAATATCCTATATAAGAATATTTGTCCTTCTGCTATCTGGCCCAGGGCTACTCTGTTATCAGTGTTGCAACCCTCATTACCTGAGCTGGATGTGGATTATTGATCTTCATATTCAATCACACACATTAATGACCTATTGTTATCTACTCGTTTTATGACCCTTTGACCAATTGAAAAACAAATTTAAAGGATTACTATAGGGTCAGGAACACAAACATGTATTCCTGACCCTATAGTGTTAAAAACCACCATCGCGCCCCTCCTCCCCCCCATGGGCCCCTCATGCCTCCATAAATATAGCAAAATCTTATTGTATTCACGCCTGAAGCTGTAACTCTGCATGCTGTTTGACTCAGAAAAACAAGCAGTCTGCTGACATCATCAGAAGTGGTAGCCTGATCCAATCACAGTGCTTCCCCATTGGCTGAGACTGACAAAGAGGCAGATCAGGGGCCGAGCCAGCACAATTCAAACATAGCCCTGGCCAATCAGCATCTCCTCATAGTGATGAATTGAATCAATGAAAGTTCAGTGTTTGCATGCAGAGGGAGGAGATACTGAATGTTTGGATGCACTTTAGGTAGCCATGACCCAGGAAGGATCTCTAACAACCATCTGAGAAGTGGCCAGTGAAGTTATTACTAGGCTATAATGCAAACACTGCATGTAAACACTGCATTTTCTCTGCATTTTACTCACCAGAACAAATTCAATAAGCTGTAGTTGTTCTGGTGACTATAGTGTCCCTTTAAGTTAGCATTTTTGATGCCCATATGCATGAGGAGATAGTGTCATTGATGAGTGACCATTTTGGGATTTCTGACTGGAACCTGAATTTAAGAAAATTGGATATATAAAAAAGGCACCATCTCCTTGTGTTATGCTTTCATGGCTGGTGAGACAGGTCCTAAAATTGTCACGGTTCCGGAACCAAACACACTGACAGATTACAGGGGAAGGAATTGCAATATCAGTCCTTAGAGTGGCCGGGCTATGCAAAAAAGAGAGACGTTAGAGTACAAGCCGAAGTCAGAGGAGTACAGAGATACAGAGTTACGATAGGACTAGCCGAGGTCAAGGATCAGAGAAAGCAGGGTAAACGAGAGACAAAGCCAAAATTTGGTAACAATCAGACAGAGAAGACACGCTATTGGACTATCTAAAGACCAGAAAAGGGCAACAAGAGATGACATCGGCAAGCCTAAATAGGCATGCTTAATTTCTGATTGGTCAATTTCCTGTTGGAATTAACCACGACACGTGGAAGGTATTTGAACGTTTCACTTTGACCCTTGAGGTAATCTTAATGCACCATGTCGGATGGCTGACTTGGGCACAGAGGTGGAAGTCAACTACCATACCAACTATTAGCGAAGTTCTTAAATCAGTCTTTGAAAGTAAGAATTGTGAGGTAGCCAGTGGTGTACCCACAATCCATGGGGCCCCGGTGTAAAATTGATCCGTGGGCCCCCCTCCCCTCTCTCCGCCGATTTATGCCCCCCATCCCTCCTGACACACACATACATAGACACACACACATACATAGACACACACACACACACATACATAGACACACACACATGGTGCCCCATGGATTGTGTGTACGCCACTGCATACACAGACACACACACATACAGAGACACACACACATACAGAGACACACACATACATACAGAGACACACAGACACACACATACATAGACACACACATACAAACGGGGCCCCATGGATTGTGTGTACGTCACTGCATGCATAGAGACACACATACAGAGAGACACACAAATACATACAGACACATACAGAGACACAGAAACACACACACATACAAAGAGACACAGACACACATACAGAGACACACACATACAGAGACACACAGACACACACACAGAGACAGAGGCACAAACACACACATAGAGACAGAGACACACACACACATACAGAGACACACACACATACACATACAGAGACATTAACACATACAGAGAAACACAGACACACACATACAGAGAGACACACAGACACACATACAGACACAGAGACACAGACACACATAGAGACAGAGACACACACACACACACACACACATACAGAGACACACACACATATAGAAAATGTTTCCTACCTTGTGACTTTCCCTGGGGTCCAGTGGTGGCTCAGCCTGATGGGAGTCAGAGTTCCTACTCTGACTTCCTCCTCCTTCCTGCTTCCTCCCGCGCTGGCTCTCTGTATGCTGGGAGGAGTGACCGGGGAATCACTTCCTCCCAGGAACAATGAAAGAATCACAGTGGGCCCGGTCGCGCTGTTAAAGCACCCAGCACAGACCAGGCCCCCTTACAAACCATATCCATTGTGTGGCCCTGACAACATGGGCCACCTGATGGACCCCTCCATATGCGGCCCCGGCGGTTTGCCGCGCGTGCCGGGGCTGCAAAACTTGGCAACTGGTACCCGGTCGCAGGGGTCCGCGGTATGTATGCCGCTGGCTACCCTCTGATAATGTAACTCTTCTAAATCATGAATGGGCTGTGTGGGAAGAGAACATTAGACATCAATACAATGTTTCTTCTTGACTTCCACCTGACCAGATCTTTGTTTTAATTATTTTCTACTTTGATATTCATTTCTTTAATACGTTACTATAAAAAAAACTTTCTAAAATATTATTATTATTATTATTATTGACATGTTAATGACATATCAATAGATGTAAACATAGATTTATATTCCCCTGCTTGATTGTTGTGCTAAATTTTCTTCTGTTATTATTAATATTATTATTGTTATTGAAAAAATGCATCAATAAAAATATTTGAAAAGGATTGAGCAATACCTGACATTGCTCTTCTTTTGTGAGTATACTTCCATTTATTCTTTTATCTCTTTTAATAACAGAGAGAGCACTACATTCTGGTTTTATTTGCATTTTATATACCGATGAATCCTGACTGCTATACTGTGATCAATTTTACTTATTTAATTTTTCTTTTTACTATTTCTATATTTATATTATTTTTCTTCACATTTTTTCTTTATCATTTTTCTTTTAAGTTTCTTCTTTATAGTTATTTTTCCCAATTTATATATTTTTTCTTTTACTCTTTTTTATTTATTTTAAACCGTCCCCCTTTTTTGTATAAATATATATTATTTATATATATTTTTGTAGTTTGTAGATTTCACCCCCTTTTTCTTTTTTTTAACGTACATATGGTATTGTGATATTGCATATCTCTGGGTATGTATAATTTCTTCTTCTTTTTTCTGTATGTATTGTGTTGGAATGTTATGATCGTGAGCGGATGGAATGCATACCATGTCTTCCATCTTCAAACGGTGGAATGCAAGCATCAGTTCCTTTTTCATCAGGAGATGACTTGTGTGGAAACGAATGGCGTGCATGCGCACTTAAATAGAATGCATGCAGGAACGCAACACGATCAGCTGGAATGGATCACTTAATCATCTATGGATATATAAAATAATACTTTACAGGAGTCTAACATATCCCTGAAGAGGTCCCCTTAGAGGGAAGAAACGCATTTGATGTTGGACTTAATTGGACTTTTATTACTTTGTTGCTATCTTTTTACCTTTGTGAGACTACACAAGACTATTTTAGTTTATTTTAGGTCCACTGGCTGTGGAGACATGCAAAGCTTTTTTATGTGTTTTTAAGTGCATTCATTTATATATAGATTTATTTTGTATCCATAGTATTGCATTTTCTATTATCTTTTCATTACCAGAATTTTTACACTACAAGAGTACCATTGGAACCAGACTTCACATTGATTGATACCCCTGAGGGGAGACATGTCTACTATTGATTTATATCTTATTATTTATAACCTAGCAGGTTGTATTTTATATGTTTTATTTAGCATATATATTATTTGGTTCACAGAGCTTACTCTCTTTTTATATGTTTTCACTTAGTTGTGGTATATATTTTTTTCTGTTAGATCCCACAGGATCTTAGCCTCGTCATTTTCAGCTACCTTTTGTGGTATCTCCCATCTTGACTTAGGCAGGTCCAGCCCATATTCTGTACAGATGTTTCGGTACACAATCCCAGCAACTTGGTTGGGCCTCTCAGTGTATGCTGTTCCTGCTACCTTCTTGCATCTGGCTACTATGTCCTAGATTGTGTCAGACTTGCCTGGTGTGGTAGACTCCCATTTCTATTGATCTGGTGCTGAGTGCCTTTTCCTGTGCTGCTATGATTAATGCCTCAGTGTTGTTTTTTAGTCCTGCTTTTTCCAGTCACTGGTAGGATTTTGTCATGTAAGCCACATCCACTAGCTGCCAGTGGTACACCCCGTTTGTCTTGCCATGGAACCTCTTCCTTTTATGCATCCTCTATCTGTTGAAGTCTCAGGCATTCCCTTAGCAGTTCATCTTTAGGGGTCATCTTTGTGATGTACTTCTGGGTGCTCGGTGTTTCATCCAGAACTGTGGCCTCTAAACTCATCTGGCCCGACCTCTTTCCTGCCAGCTGGTGTACAGTCTCTAGGTGCTGGATTTTGGGTGGAATCTTGCATTCATAGTGAGTAGTTTCCGGGTTTTGACATCCATAGTGAGTTCTTCTCTTAGATAGGTTCTTATTCCAGCTGGGTACCTGATGACTGGTAAGGCATATGTGTTGATGCTTGGATCCTGTTCTTGCCATTGAGCTTTGACTTCAAGACATTTCTGACTTTCTGTACTTGGATGTTTCTATCCTCCTTGCCTCTTCCTCATAGTTACAATGTGTTTGTGGTACCCCTAAGTACTTGTCGATGTTCTCTACATCTACTATTTGGCCCTCTGGTACTTGAATTCCTTCTGTCCTGATCATCTTCCCTCTTTTTGTTACCATCCACCCACACTTACCCAGACCAAATGACATTATGATGTCCTTGCTGTATATTCTAGTTAAGGGGATCAGTGAATCAATGTCCTGCTCATTCTTGGCAAACAGCTTGATGTCATCCATGTAGAGTAGGTGGCTGATGGTAGCTCCTCTCTTTAACTTATATTCGTATCCACTCTTCATGATGATCTGGCTGACGGGGGTGAGGGGGGGTTGAGGACTATGCAGTACAGCATTGGGGATAGCACATCACATTGGTATATGCTACATTTGATGTTCACTTGAATTAGCTTCTAGAATTAGCTTCTAGAGTTGTTTTCCACTTGCCCATCGTGTTCTTGGTAGTGTTGTTAACTTCTTGATCCAGTAGGTGTGGGTCATGTCAGGTCCTGGGGCTAACCAACTCTTCAAGTGTCCTACTTGCTGTTGGATATATCTGACTGTAGTGACTGGTTTCTGTTCTGGCAACATGCAGTGGTCTGCTTTCAGGACTAGTAGCCACTGGGCCTTGGTGTTATGTGATGCTTCTTCCTCTGAGATGTTCTTTCAGTACTGTTTCTATAGCTCAATATCATGCATTTGGAAGCATTCTGAAAATTAGTAATATCCTCATGTGGACCAATATAAAGCAAAGGTATCAGGCATTTATTAATGACTGCATGGCGACTGAATATAAACAGACTGCATCTGGCAGAACGCACATTTGCAAATGATCAATCACTTGCTTTTCTAGCCCAGTTGCTAGAAAAGACTGTCGCTCATTGGTGCAGCCCAGAAGAAACACAAGATTCTCTCCCATTTTTTTAAGGACCCCAACTTATCACCTACGAGTGGTGGCCAAGGGTAGCACTCTAGGTCCTTTCCTCTTTCTTATTAGTGGGTGGAGGCTATTCAGTCCTTCCCTTTTACTCATTAATATTAGTGTCCCCACCAATGGGTCCTCACCCATGACTATTAGATTTGCCCCCATGCGATGCCCACAAGTGGGGCACAGGGGGGCTATATCCCTCTGTTATTTGACAGGCCCATTCCTATGTCATGGGGACTTTTCTAGAAATTTGGAAACATGCCCAGATGGCAGGCTGGAGCATATGGAGGTACAATGCCTCCCTTATAGTAATATGGGGATTTTATTATTTTTTTCATTTATTTAAAAAAAATGAACGTGGTAGCATGTAGTAAACGCTGTCCAGCTGCCGCGTAATTAACCCTTGCACCGCCAAGGCTTTTTAAACTAGTTTCCTGCTTTCTGCTAGTACTGCCAGCAGGAACATAGCTTGGTTCTGGTGCCTATAGTGTACCTTTATGTGTATAGTTTACTTTGCATTCTAACTTTAAAGTAAATTTCAAATTTAAGGTCAAAACAGCAGAACTGGAAAAAAATGTATGTCAGATATGATTTCAGTTAATCTATTCTGACCTTAAAGGGAAACTCCAGTGCCAAGAAAACAATCCATTTTCCTGGCACTGCAGGTCCCCTCTCTCTCCCACCTCCCAATCCCCGGCGGTGGTTTCTGCTCGCCGCTCCTCCCAGTAATTACGTCAGCCGGTGGGCGAGACTGATCCCGCCTGCCGGCTGAGGAAACCTAATGTGCATTAGAGCTCTCCATAGGAAAGCATTGAAAATGCTTTTCAATGCTTTCCTATGGGGAATTGAGCGATGCTGGAGGTCCTCACACAGCGTGAGGACATCCAGCGACGCTCTAGCACAGGTTTTCTGTGCTATAATTCAGGAAGTGCCCTCTAGTGGCTGTCTAGTAGAGAGCCACTAGAGGAGGCGTTATCCCTGCAAGGTAATTATTGCAGTTTATAAAAACTGCAATAATTACACTTGCAGGGTTAAGTGTAATGGGAGTTGGCACTCAGACGACTCCAATGGCACCCAGACCACTCTAAAGTCAGAATTCAAAGTTAATAACCCTGTTAGCATTTGTCTTTGTTGGATTGAAATAAGTAGCTTTGAATTACTAAAAATCTAATTTTAGTGAATTACACACAAATGTCAAATTTACTTAACAAAGTTATTTAGTGAATAACCCTGTTAATAGAGAAATCTTGCAAGTCCGCTATATTGGCTTACAATATGCACTTCCCTGGTGAATGCCAGCAATTCACAGTTTAGTTAATAAACCCTTGGACAACCAAGGCATCCCATCACCTTTCTGGAAGGACCATGCCACTAGTAGCCGAAAGGTGGCGCTAGAGAGGATGAACCGTTCTCACAAGCCAGTCCTTCCTGGCTGCTGGCTGCAAATCTCGCGGTATTTCGAGTGCAGCTCTCGCGGCCCTGTTGGAGAGCTGGCTGCCCGGGCTCGCAGTGATGCCTGAGACCGGTGGGATTCGGACGTTGTTAGTGCGGCATCTCCCGGACGAGCTGAGCCCGGAGGAGCAGCGAGTCCTGTTAGAGAAGAGCGGGGCCGACAGTGTGCGGTTGTGCTCCGGTAGAACCCGAGGAAGCTTGGTGAGAGGCGGGAGGGAGGGGGTGAATGAATGGAGAGACCACCAGGGTCCCTGAAATGGCAGGAACAGCCAGCAATAAACATAATATAACACCACTCTGTCTTACTGCCTCACAGAGGGGGAAATAATACTAAGAAATAATATATGGCAGGAACAGCCAGCAATAAACATAATATAACACCACTCTGTCTTACTGCCTCACAGAGGGGGAAATAATACTAAGAAATAATATATATATACATAGTAACAACATTGCTGGTGTTGAAATGTGAAACATTTAAAGTACATTTTTGGGTTGTTTTAGTGTTGCCTAATTATTGTGAACCAAGCTAGAACTAGTTATTCACCATCATGTTTAGGTTAAAGGGACACTCCAGACACCCAGACCACTTCTGCCCATTGGAGTGGTCTGGGTGCCAACTCCCACTACCTTTAACCCTGCAACTGTAATTATTGCAGTTTTTTATAAACTGCAATATTTACATTGCAGGGTTAACTCCTCCTCTAGTGGCTGTCTAGCAGACAGCCACTAGAGGGAACTTCCGGGTTTATAGCACGCTATGTGAGGATCTCCAGCGTTGCTAAATTCCCCATAGGAAAGTATTGAAAACATGCGCATTAGGTCTCCCCTGTCGCTGGCCGCGCATGCGCATTAGGTCTTCCCTGCAGGATGACGTGGGCGGACCCTTAACCAGCGTCGAGGATGGGGGGTGGGAGGGACAGGGGACCTGCAGTGCCGCGAAAACGGTTTGTTTTCCTGTCACTAGAGAACCTCTTTAAGTATGTTGTTTTTTTTTTTTACCCTGTAATGTTGATGCATTTGGGTGGCAATTAGACTGGTGAAACCTATAGAGAGTGTGTGTGTACAGTATACATATTTAACCCCATATTTAATAGTCTAATTCAGGGCTTCAAAATTTTTCTTTGAATCTAAGAGCCAGTTTAAAAAAAAAGTAAACTCCATGTATTTTTTTTTTTTTTTTTGTAGCAACAAAAATAGCAAATCTTAAAGGGACACTGTCGTCACCAGAACCACAACAGCTTAAAGGAGCACTATAGTGCCAGGAAAACAAACTCGTTTTCCTGGCACATAGGGTCATTAGGTTACCCCACCCTCAGGGTCCCCGTCCCGCTGGGCTGAAGGAGTTAAAACCCCTTCAGCCACTTACCTTTCTCCAGCGCCGGGCTCCCTTTGTACTGGGCAACCCTCCACCCCCTGCCGATGTCAGATCCGAATGTGCATTACTCAATGCTTTCCTATGGACGTCCAGCTTCTTCTTACTGCGTTTTTCACTGTGAGAATTGCGGAAGCGCCTCTAGCGGCTGTCAGTGAGACAGCCCCTAGAGGCTGGATTAACCCTCAGTGAAACATAGCAGTTTCTCTGAAACTATGTAACACTTCTAATGGCAGTCACTCAGATGCAGCACCTATGTCCAGCGTCAGATGCAACACCTATGTCTCCACACTCTGCATGGATACGCAAAACATTCCTTATGGAGATTCATTGCTTCAGTGCATGCATATGAGGAGATGCTGATTGATGCAGTGTGGTGTTTTTCTGTGCTTACACAATAGCCTTCCAGATTGAGATCATCAAGATTGGTGATCTCATCCATGGAGACTGTGCCAGTTGCAGCAACACCAACATGGGGGAAAAAAATACACTATAATGTTCCTTTAAATGTACACATAAAGACTACTAGAACCAAACGTCATGGGCGTTTTACTTATGCAGATAATTTATTCTGATATCTCACCCCAGATGTTTTGTGCAATGCATCAGTTTTTTTTCACTTGTCTTTTTGTGGCCATGAACTTGCGTTGTATTTTTAGAATTCTAGTACCAATACTAACACGCTAACTGAGTAGACACACTCACTCACTGACAGACACACACACATTCTCTCACACACTCAAATAATTATTTGTTTTATTTTAAATTATGTCCAATCAGCCTCCCTACCTTTGGGAGAGCTAGAGTGGATCCTTTCTTTAGAGTCCAGCAAAGCTGCTGTAATCTTTTTGCCCTGCTCCCTCGCACACGTGTAGTGATGCCAAGGCCGGAGTGACTTCATATGCCTGGTATCACTGCAGGGCACGCGAGGAAGAACAGCAGGAAGATTACAGCTCCATTCCGCACAGCCGCCCACCTTGGTGGCCAGCTCTTGGGTCCCCCGTGACTGATGGAACACAGAGGGCCCGGTTGCGCTCATGTGACCCCTGTAATTTTGCCATTGCACCGGCAGGCATCAGTTCAGTGTTGAACGGGCTGACAAAACACCCAGGCACCAAGACAAAATTCAACATGGCAACCTAGTGCCTGTGATTTTTCTAGCCCTGGTCTAATGTAACACAAATAAATTTTATATAGTTGCTTATTTGGTAAACATTTTGTGCATACATTCACTATAATTGTTGTTGTCTTTTTGTGTTTCAGAAAAATGCTGCCTTTGCAACATACCCAAATGAATTTGCTGCTACAAAGGTTTGTACTATATTGGATTACTCACAAAATAAGAAATGCATTGTTAATCTCAAAGGTAATCTCTAATATTTACGTAAATCACAATGGAAAATAGTTTAAAGGAGAGGTTGCTGCACATATGCATAATGTGTATTCCTTGGCCATTTCAGGGTTTGTTCATGTTACAATCTAAGGATGTGTGATCAGGATCACAGGGGCAAAAGATTTGATTTGACTGATTCATATTAACAGTATATCAAAGACTGGTCTTATTTTTTAAATGATCCATTGAATCTTTAAAAATTGTCACATTTAAGTTGATACTTTATGGTGTATTCCAGTTAACCTATTTTATTTAGGTGTGTGTGTGTGTGTATATATATTTTATTTATTTTTATTTTTTTTTTGAAAATAGTAATCAGTTCATATAAAGTAAAATTGTCTATGTTGACTCAAGTTGGGGTAATGGTCATTCTTCAAGCTTGCATCCTATTCATTCAACTTATATAGTGGTTCCATTCTCCTCTTTCAACTTCCAATTCTGTTACTGACCCACTATGTCACTTGGATACTTTAAAGGGCCACTGTCCCCAGATTCTCTGTCAATCATTTCCAAACAGATTGACAAATCCCCTAGATGACAATAGACCGTCCCCATGCTTAATGAATTACCAGCGCAGTGTCAGTTTTAATGCAATGCATAGAGCAAGGGCTCTGGCTTCGGATGCCTGGAGGACCCGAAACTTTTGTTGGATTCAAAACCTGTGAATTACTTCTGTATCTTCTTAGCATCATAATCACTACAACAGGCCGGTGATGTTGCTTTTAGAGTGCCCTTTGAGCACAATAAAACTAATATAATTATAAAACGTGGCGTGAGTGTTTTTTTTTGCTAACTACATTTTTCTGAGACATTGTAATTCAGATGTTACGTTTTGTGTTTCAAATTGCAGGCGCTGTCTATTCTTCACCAGCTAAATGTTTTGGGTCATACCCTCGTGGCTGAGTATGCCAAAGAAAATCATGTTCATTTACCAGACCAACCCTCGATCTCTGAGAAAAAGAAAAGGTTTGTAAATATTTTATGGTAAGGCAGGTCTTGACAAATTTGTTTGGAATACAATTTACTATAGTGGTTCTGGTATCTATATCCTGTCCCTGTAGGTTTTTCAATGTAAAAGAGAAAGGGCAGTGTTTACTGTGGTGCCTAGTGACAGTCGCTCCGTTGGCCAACAGAGATTATTCCTAATTCAGTGCTGCACCGCATGAAGCATCTATGTTCAGCGTCTCCACGCTCTGCATGGAGGTGCTGAATGCTCCCCATAGAGATGCGTTAAATCACTGCATCGCTATGATGAGATGTTGATTTGCGCAGTGCGTAGTTTTGCCGCACATGTGCAATACTTTTACCAATGTTTTCCTATGGGGAAAGCAATGGCTTGGCTGAGATCATCAACATTGATGATCTCAGCCATGGAGAAATGGCCAGCCACTGTTAGACATGGCGTGGGAAAAAAAGTGAGTAAAAACAACTTTCCCATGCGATCTGAAGCTGACCGGTAAATTAAACAGATACACACTCACTGACAAACACACACGTTTTCTTATACACTCACAATTTACTATTATTTTTAAAATAAAGTCCACCCAGCTTCTCTACCTTTGGGGTCCAATGTTTCTGCTGTGATCTTCAAGCTCTTCTTGCATTGCTCTCTTGCACACTGTTTTGTGATCTGGGGCTGGAGTGACATCATATTCCAGATCAAGGCATCACTAAACGGCGTGCGAGGGTGCATAACAAGAACTGTAGGAAGATTAATGTTCCTTTGGCGGTCCCTCTCCATGCTCCCTCCGCTGTCGGCATCCGCTGAAAGGTCTACCTAACACCCAGGCACCAGGACAGATTCATAGTCGCCATGACTATGGTAAGGCATTAATCACAAATGGCAGTTTTACAGTATTTCTTGACTAGGATCTTTGCAGTTAATTTGAAACATCTAACACCATAACTAATTTAGGTATTCATGATGCTTCCTTCTAAAGTACTACTGAAAAGTTAAATTAAAAAAATTAACATCCATTTAGGTCCTCCCAGTATGTACGTGTAATAGAATAGCATATGTCTCTATTTGTTTTGTTTGCTCCCAATTACAGTGAAATATTTGTTGCATGACTTAACATTTTAATTTTTTTATTTTAGTGCAGAGAAGGCAGCGGATGAAAAAGATGTGAAACCTCCAAACCAAGTCTCTATTGAAAGAGGGATAGCTCCAAAACATGGGTTTGTACCTGCTTTTTTAAACAACAATTTGTCTTCCTACCCTAAGGGATTTCTTTTCCAAACAGTGAACTGAACGGTCATATCTGAGTATGGAATATGTAGACCATATTAGCAATGAAAATCACCATCATTCCTTTGTTTGGTCTTTTTCAGTTTACATGTCTTTGTGAAAACATTGCTATGACCTTAATTTAGTTGTAACATGTCCTGAATGTTCCCTCTGCATGAGAGATACAGATACCTCAGACAATTGGCCTTCTTCGGGCCTCATCTACAAGGTGTTGCTGATACCCCTCCCGAGTCCCGCCACCGTGAGCACAGGGTCAACCTCTATACAGATATGCAAAGGGAACTTGCCGTCATTTATTTAGTATCTACACTGTGCTTTTTGACATGATCAGTCTGATATGCAAATGTTTTCTTTATATTGTCACAACTGAGCAAAAACTTTTGCCTATTCTTAAAGTTATCACACTCCTTTTTGAAAAAACTTGTCCCGTCCCCCACCTCTCCCAAAAAAACAATGTTTTTCAAATTCAAAAAAATCCATGTTATTGCATAACTCTTAGGCACAGCTGTGAAAGCAGAACTATATGGTCTTGGGTGAGAAAACAGGTGTGAACTGATAGCTAGTTATATATTCTATTCAGTTTTGGTTATGTAACAGTTTCTCTAAATATAGTTTTGCTTTTATATATACACACTTGTTGAAAAATAACTCCAAGGTTTCCGTGGAAGTGATTTGCGTTGATGTGCATTCTATCATCATGCATTTATGCAATATAGATATATATAATTTATTTTTAATTTTTTTTTTACTTCAAAATGCATGTTAATTTCAGTAATAGAAAAAACAAAACTAATTAGCACAGTTAAACCAACATATTACATAGTCTAAAAAGTTAGTTCCCATAATTTAAAATCCATTGCTTTATGACTGTAAAAATGTTAAAACGTGGCTTTTATTAGTACATAAAAAAACACTAACCGGATTATTCACAAAAGTGATAATTGTCTCGAATCTTAAGAGAATTTAAAATGTAAAGCCATATCCATACGTGACTTTGATATTTTTTCCAGGTCATTGATATTTTTTTTTTTTTTGGGGGGGGGGAGCCTATAATTTGAAAATCACTTTCAATTCCCCACAATCCTCACTTTAGTAAATAATCCTGTAAAAACTGTGTATTGGTGCTTTCCATGTACTGTTATATAATAATTCCTAAACCACCTCTGGCCTGTGGTGAGATTTTGCATAGAGTTCTTTTCGTTTGTCATGAACAGCAAAGTAGAAGCTTAAAGGGACACTAAAGGCACAAAACAACTTCGGTCAATGAGATGCTTTAGTGTATAAATCAAGTCCTGAAGTCTTACTTTGTCATTTCTCTACCATTTTGGAGTTAAATCTTTGTTTTTGCAGTTTTACCCATACCTCCCCTGGCTGAGACTGACACAGTGGATCCTAAACACTTACTGAAAAAATTGTCTACATGTTTAGTCTCTATTATTGCATAGTGCATTCAATTTAGAAATTCATATTTCCTGCTCTGGGTTTGGGTTGCATAAAGAAAAGTTAATTAACTCCCAAATGGCAGGGAATTGAGCAGTGAGACTGCTGATTGGCACAGCTTTTTGGTGTAATAGAGCACTAGACTCTCAATGCTTTGCTATGGGAAAGCATTTGGAGTAGCTGCGGTAATCCCAGCAAAGGAGGCGGGGCCAGATGCAGACAGAGCAGCGTGGAGTGGGATAAAAGGTGAGTGGACTAATTCTTAACCCTGCAGAATGGTCTCCTAAATGTTGACTTGGACACTATTGTGTTGGGAATACATATTTGTATTCCTAAAGCTATAGAGTAGTGGTTCTGGTGCCTATAGCATGTCCCTGCAGGCTCGGCAATTGAAACACTGCCTCGTTTACTTTTTTTTTTTTTTTTGAGGGTTTCTGCAGAGACAAGTATAAAACACACGTTTTGTGCTGGTGCAGCCATCGTCTCTTGCACTTGTACATCACCTTGGCAATGTTGTGTGAGCATATGCACATTAAGGCATTCCTTCCATTAAGCTATAAGCATCCACATTCCGTCATGGACTATGCTGTGTCACAAAGTTCATAATGATTTTACATTGCATGCCAGACTGTGCCTTCACATCTTGTACAATATAAATGGAAGAAACATACTGTTTTTGCAACATTGTTTTATTTATTCATTAGGTGCCTTATTTATATGTTCTACTTTTTTTTTTCTCTCTCTCTCTCAGACTTGTCTTTCCCATAAAATCCAGTCTAAAGTACCTGTACCCACCACCAACCAGTACCATTCTTGCAAACATTGCAAATGCTTTAGCCAGTGTCCCAAAATTCTATGTACAGGTAAGACTATTACTATGATTTATATTAATTACAAAGATGGGGTGCTTGACTAGAGCCTTGGACACTGACATAGCTGTTTGGAAAACTAATTTTCACAAATAAAATCTGAATGGAAAAAATGAGGCAAAAATAGCTGAATGGTAAATATTCTCTAACTTTGCTATAATTAGAGCATGTGTATTTTTGCTTCAGGTTTGCAATTTAGATGCATTTTGCAAAAAATTCAGTCATAGTGTGTGTTTTACAGCTGCATATAAAACTGTGCATACTGCCTGCATGTGATGTGATTGTGTGTGTGTGTGTGTGTGGTGTGCACTGTGTGTGTGTGATGTGCACTGTGTGTGTGTGATGTGCACTGTGTGTGTGTGGTGTGCACTGTGTGTGTGTGTGGTGTGCACTGTGTGTGTGTGTGTGTGGTGTGCACTGTGCTGGTGTGTGTGTGTGGTGTGCACTGTGTGTGTGTGTGTGGTTGTGCTGTGTGTGTGTGTGTGTGGTGTGCGCTGTGTGTGTGTGTGGTGTGCTGTGTGTGGTGTGCGCTGTGTTGTGTGTGTGTGTGGTTGATGTGTGGTTGTTGCTGTGTGCTGTGTGTGTGGTGTGCGCTGTGTGTTGGTTGTGTTGCTGTGTTGGTGGTTGGTGGTTATGTGTGTGGTTGTTGCTGTGTGTGTGTGTTGTGCTGTGTGTGGTTGATTGCTGTGTGTTGTTGTTGTTGGTTGTTGCTGTGTGTGTGTGTGTGTGGTTGTGCTTTTGTTGTTGTTGGTGATTATTGTGTGCACTGCCTGTGTGTGTGTGTGTGTGGTGTGCACTGCCTGTGTGTGTGTGTGTGTGTGCACTGCTGTGTGTGTGTGTGTGTGGTGTGCACTGCCTGTGTGTGTGTGTGTGTGGTGTGCACTGCCTGTGTGTGTGTGTGTGGTGTGCACTGCCTGTGTGTGTGTGTGTGTGTAGTGTGCACTGCCTGTGTGTGTGTGTGGTGTGCACTGTGTGTGTGTGTGTGTGTGTGTGTGAGTGTGCACACTGTGTGTGTGTGTGTGGTGTGCACTGCCTGTGTGTGTGTGTGTGGTGTGCACTGCCTGCGTGTGTGTGTGGTGTGCACTGTCTGCCTGTGTGTGTGTGGTGTGCACTGCCTGCATGTGGTGTGTGTGTGTGGTGTGCACTGCCTGCCTGCATGTGATGTGTGTGGTGTGCACTGCCTGCCTGCCTGCATGTGATGTGTGTGTGTGTGTATGTTTGTGTTAGTGTGTGTGTGTGTGTGTGTGTGGTGAGCTTTCTGTGTGTGATGTGATGTGTGTGTGTGTGTGTGTGTGTGTGTGTGTGTGTGGTGTACTTTTCTACTGCCTGCATGTGATGTGTGTGTGTGTGTGTGTGTGTGGTGTGCACTGCATGTGATGTGTGTGTGTGTGTGTGTGGTGTGCACTGCCTGCATGTGGTGTGTGTGTGTGTGTGTGGTGTGCACTGCCTGCATGTGATGTGATGTGTGTGTGTGTGTGCGTGGTGTGCACTGCCTGCATGTGATGTGATGTGTGTGTGTGGTGTGCACTGCCTGCATGTGATGTGTGTGTACTTATATGCAGGTTTATATAGATACAAAACATGTATACTAAAATATATATATATATATATATATATATATATATATATATATATATATATGTATACTAATATACATATATATGCATAATACTCTAGTTAAGTATAAATTTTTTAATTTATTCAAACCTTGTCCTCACTAACCTACACAATTTTTTTCTTTGCACATACACTCTAACACAAAATCTATGACCCACACACTGTCATTCTGATACACATACCCACAAACATACACTCTCTGACCCATACACATACTCCACACAGTAACTAACACACCGATGCACATACTAAACAGGGCCGCATTGTATCTTTCACTTTAGCAGCAGCTTTCATGTTCGTGCAGTTTGTCCCCTTCCCTTGTATTTCCTCCATGCAGAGTGCTGGCTGCCGGGATATGACGTTGTACTGTATTCTGGTGGCCATAAACTCTGTGCGTCGTGAGGATGTTCCTCACACCTCATTATGCCTGTCAGTCTTCTGCAGCACCTAGCTGGTTGTAGGTGAAGTTGGACAGTCATTCCTCTACACCAAGTACACCATCCCTCCCTCCCCTTCTCTCCTAATTTGCCCGACAATAAATTGAACTGAAAAAATATGCACCCAGAACTATATATCCTGAGCATCAGCTGAAATGCCACATCCTTGACTTATATGAAAGCTAAAGTAAAAGGACTTAGTCCTCATGAAGCATAACCTTCATGGAATTTATGTGTTTATTGTTTCTTCATGTTTTTCGAAATAAGAAGAGCCCTGAATAACTATGGTACAAACAAGATTTATTTTATTGTAACTTTTCTTATCAAGTTTGACTCAAAGGTTAAAAAAATAAATTAAAAGAATTCCACTGCAGCCCTGGTTAAAGTCTTTGCCAAAGTCTGTGCCTTCCCAGTTTAGCCAGGCAGTCTCCTATATAAAACGTATGACAAGAAGTTTACAAAGAATCTGGCACTAGGCTTTTGCAGCTCTGTTGGAAAAGAAGTGATCTGTAATATCCACATGCAAAATAAAAGTACATTTTACTATCATTTAAAGCCACAACCTATATTTGTAGGTAAAGTCACTCGCCCTAAGGATAAATCAGGAGAAAAATTTCACTTTGCATACTCAAGGGCAGTGGTGCCCAAAAGGTATATCCCCAGATGTTGTAGAACTACAACTCCCATGTTGCTTTGCATGCATTAAGAATGCCAAAACCTTGTGGAAGCTGCAGTTTTAAAACATCTGGGGATCTATCTTTTGGGCCATACATGTATGGATATAAAGAAACAATATCTAGCCCCCTTGGTTCCCCCTAAATAAAGTAAAACCTTTATTCCAGTCTGCCGGTGCTGGCTCTGCCCCTGATCCACCTCCTTGGCTGACATCATCAGAAGTTATATCACCTAATCAAAATGCTTTCCCGTAGAAAAGCATTGAATTGGCTGACATGGTCAATCCTGATGATCTCAGCTAAAGAGGCAGACCTGGGGTCAGTGGCAAAGCCGCCCTGGCCAAGCAGCATCTCCTCATAGAGATGATAGAGATGCATTGAATTCAGTGCAGAGGGTGGAGACACTGAATGTCAGTGGTGCATACTGTGCAGCACTGCCCCAGTAAGCACCTCTAGTAGCCATCTGAGGAAAGGCTACTTGAGGTGTCCCTACGCTGTAATGTAAACACTGGCTTTTCTCTGAAAAAAGTGTTTACTGCAAAATGCCTACATAGACTCACTATACTCACCAGAACTACTCTGGTGACTGTAGTGTCCCTTTAAGTAAATGTGTGGTTGCTTTTGTGTGTGTGTGTGTGTGTGTGTGTGTGTGTGTGTGTGTGTGTGTGTGTATATATGTATATATATATGTATGTGTATATGTATGTATATATATATATATATATATATATATATATATATCTCTCTCTCAGTATACACACCTTCCAAAACAGAATGCTTGCCCTGGGCATTTTTTTAAAATTACATTATTATTCAGCAGTTAAATCAGAGATACTTATAAATTGCTTTTCGAATGTCGCTCAATAAACCTAATGACCTAAAAAAGCATTGTGGAAAATGTAGTTTGCCAACATCTGGTTTGCCAAGGTTATATATTACTTACTTAGGGACTACAGTCTGTTTGTTTGCTATGGGTAATTAGTCGGTTATGACCTTGGCATACTTTGTATTATGTAATTCTAGCCCGAAAAAATGCGAACAAACCAAAGCACTGGATCAATTTTTTTTAAAAGTGTTTTTTTTTTTTTTTGTGCTGGGGGGGGGATTATTGCGTTAATTTGCCTTATAATAACTTACCTCTGCTTTAAGTAACTGTGTCTATGGAGTTTTATTTAACTTTTTCCCAAACTGTAAAACTTAGCATACCAGATCCGTAATTATACTGTGACCCTTCAGATGCATAAGAGTTGTCCATGCACCCAGAGTGGTCGTAGAATATATTTGATCATGGATTCCTACATCTGGTTTGCTAAGTAGGGTAAATAATTTCTCTTTTAGCAAGTGTTGCATAAGGTGCAATATTAAGGAAAATGTATTCATACTTACTATACTTTTCTTTTCCTGCATAGATCCATGTAAGGTTTTTGCCTTAGGTTCATTATAGGCATACAAGAAACACAAGCTTAATAAAGCAGTCGTGGTGTATAGATAATGCCTCTACAGTCTCACTGCTCCATTTTCTGCCATTTAGGAGTTAGATCAGTTTTGTTTCTGTCCATGCAGCTCTAGCCACACATCCCCTTGCTGTGGCTGACTCAGCTTGCATGGGAAAAGAAAAAAGTTTTACTTTCAATCAGATGTTTATTTTCGTTAGACATTTGTATCTCCTGCTCTATAAATTGAACTTTAATCACACAGTGTCTAGCAAGTTGTTAACAGAGCAGGAGATAAATTCTAAATTAAACATACTGGTCAATAAAGGAAGTGTAAACATTGGATCTCTCCTTACAGAGAGTGTTTAGTGCTTATGCAAGTCCATGCAAGGACGTGTGACTAGGGCTATATAAACAAAGTGATTAAATCCTAAATGGTAGAGAAATGAGCAAATAAATATTGAGAGTATATGTAGGCAACACAAACGCATAAAAATGCCAGTAAGCAACTCAAATCTTTACATGCAACACTAGTGTATAGTGATCAGAAAGCAGGACACAGGCAATGCAGGAGCTGGAATTGGGTAGCCAACAGTCTGCCACCCACTCAGTATAATGGCTATCTACTTTCAAATATGAGGACGGGACATGTCCTTCTGTTATTGGCAAATGCCGTCATCGTTGGAATCCCAGCCTCATATTGCTGCAATTTTGCTGTCGATGGTCTACCAACGTGCATGCGCAGCCGCATTTCTGCTTCTCACCGAAATGTGACCCAAATGGCATTTCGGAACACCGAGTGCGTCTGAGATAGGCGAAGTAAAATAAAAGTCCAGAATAAGCAGCAAGGGCTTTCTTGAACGGTTTTAAGGGTGTCCCCAAACACACTATGTATACCAATGCCCATATCCCCCAGCGAGCTACCCTTAGATAGGAGCTTCGTGCTGGCTCTTAAGTCCACATAAAATTAATTCTCCCAGGGAAACTCGAGCATACCAGCTGCCTTTTAAACCAAAGATAAAACAAAAATGGTAGTTCCCTTCAGTAACCATGAGGACAGGAAAAAGACTGAGGGCTAGAAGAGGGAAGCTCTCTTTCTAATCTTTATTTCTACTTCCTGTCCCGTTAGTGATGACATGGATTGTCCAGAAAATATTTTCGTAATCTGTTATTACTTTTTTCTTTTTGAGGAATGATAACTAACAAACATTTACTCTATAGGTGCTGCATTTAATGAATAAGATGAATCTGCCAGCTCCCTTTGGGCCTCTTACCACACAACCTCCTTTGGTGAGTGACAATGTTATCTTTCATTTTATTATTGTGTTATGATTATTTATGCAGCTTAAAGCTTAAGATAAAATCATGATTGTGAAACCAATAATAGCAAGTAAAATTACAATAGAAAATACTTCTTGAATCATGCACTTGGAAGTTCTAAATATTGCAGATTACTTTAAGGTGTTGTCACCCCGCCCCACATTTCAGTTACTATAAAACTACAATGCTTTATATTGCAAGGTTACAATGCCTGATCCACTTCACCCAGACCATTTTATTGAGATCAAGTTGATTGGCTGACTTAACTGGTCCTTTAATGGGGTAATAGGTTAAATAAATAAGGCTTAATACATGGTTTTGACTTCCAGCTGTCATATACTATTATTCTTTTGCTTTGGCTTTGCATGCAGTATGCGGACTACTTGGCTATTCCGACACCGTACCCACCTGTCCCGCCTGACCTTCCTGAGAACCCACCACTGCCAGAGTTGGATGATGATTATGACATGGAAGTCTCTAGCAGAGAAGAGTCAGAATATGAAAGCTGTGATGATGACGAAAAAGAGAGGTCAGTGATTTATTTGTATATAGTGAGACATTGTAAAGGGTATAAGAATTTTTGCAGAGCAAATTATATTGTTACCTGATCTTCACCTCAATGCAACATGCAAATTCTACTGAGTGCTTTATTATTATTATTATTATTATTATTGCCATTTATATAGCGCCAACACATTCCGTAGCGCTTTACAATATTATGAGAGGGGGCATTTAACAATAAATGGGACAATTACAAAAACTTACAGGAACGATAGGTTGGAGAGGACCCTGCTCAAGCGAGCTTACATTCTATAGGAGGTGGGGTGTAAAACACAATAGGACAGGAAATATCAATCAGGGTGGGAGTGAAGCAGAGCTGGAGGAGAGAGTAGAATGCTGCCCTTTAGTAGAGCGCAAGAGACAGGTATGTGAGGTAGAGGTTAGTCTGGGAGGCCGTAAGCTTTCTTAAAGAGATGGGTTTTAAGGCACTTCTTAAAAGATGCAAGACTAGGGGAGAGTCTGATGGCGGTAGGCAGGCTGTTCCATAGGAAGGGAGCTGCCCGCGAGAAGTCATGCAAGCGTGAGTTGGCCATACGGGTGCGAACAACGGACAGGAGGTGGTCACGGGCAGAGCGGAGAGACCGAGAAGGGACATGCCTATGGATCTGTGAAGAGATATGAGGGGCTAGAGTTATTCAGTGCTTTATAGGTGTGAATTAGTACCTTGAATTGACTCCTATAGCATACAGGAAGCCAATATAAGACCTTACAGAGGGGTGAGGTGAGAGAACCGACTAGAGAGGAAAATCAGTCTGGCGGCAGCATTCATAATGGACTGTAGTGGTGCAGTACGGCTTTTGAGAAGACCAATCAGGAGTGGGTTACAATAATCCATGCAGGAAATTACTAGAGCATGGACAAGCTCCTTGGTAGTATCTTGCGTAAGAAAGGGGCGGATGTGGGCCATGTTTTTACATATTAAAGGGAATCTATAGTCCCAAAAACAATCACAGCTTGTAAACATTGCATTTTCAAAGTCATACTTTAGTGACTGTAACTAGGACAGCCACTAGAGTGACTTATTTGTTTGCTCCTGAAAAGATTGCAGGAACAAAGTTCAGCATTTCTTGAATGCTCTGTGATTTGCTGCGCATGTGCACTAACTAACCAATAAATCCCTGTTAGGAAGCATCAAGATTGATGATTATGTAATCTTCTTGGCAATAAGAGAAGCGTCATGAATATAATTTACATTTTAAAAAAAATATATACATATATAGATTTCTTTATTTTCTTAGAGATTAACGGTCATGATACATTACTATTATAACATGTATGATGTTTGGTGCCAAAATAGGCTGCTTATCTGCATATATGCATAAACAATTTTGTTTATTTTTTATCTTGTGTATGGGAATATGTTCCAGTTAAATATTTTATTAACAGATTGGGCAATCATTTTTTAGAAATTCTAAATTTTGCAATGGTATAATGTTTGCCTTGTTTGGGTTTCATTTATATGATGTAAAATAGATGTTGGAAAGAAGTGATAGCGGGAGAACAAACTGCTAAAATGACTGGTATGAATTTTAACTCGTCCAATTTAGGGTTGCTCGTTTAAAGGAACTGGCGGAACTACTACCCAAGAGACGAAAAGTAGCCAAGCAACCTCGTCCTCGGAAAAAAATGAAAATAAAAGACCTCATAGTAACACCTACTGTACCACACAAGTAAGTTGAGTGCATTTTTCCATTCTGGTGAAATATGGCCTGTCAATAAGGTACTTTTAAAACTGTCACTCTGAAATCTTTATTTGAGTTCAAGCAACCGCTGATTGCTGGCTCAGCAGATCACCTGGTCTACAGAGTCCTCAAACCTGTGGCACCATGATACACAAAAAGACGTGCGTGACAAAGGTGACTCTGTAAACAAGTTAACCAGATTTTGCCAGATAGCTTGCACCTGCTTTCTTGGACTAAACTTTAAAGCCAGGCATTAATAAATAAGGCGACCCAGTGAATAGGGGAGTGCAATGATCAAGTTTACACATCAGTGGGGGCTGCAAGAGATCATCAGGACATCATCACTGGAAAATTTAATTTCTTGGACTGGTGGAAGCAACAATCAATCACCTAGAACCAACAAACATTCACATAGAACCATACTGCATGTTACATAAACCAATACCTAATTATTACCTTCTGGGTTCTCCATTCAAAGAACAACATTTGGATCACTGCAATGTTAGTTTTGATTTCTAAATTGGCTCGTTTTTCACGTAGTATAGTAATTAAAGTAAAATATTTGTAGAAATTGAATGAACTTTCCCAAAATAGGAAGACAAAGTATATTGGGGTGACAGGTGGTATTTGTGATTCTTAACAAACTGTTAGAGAATATGGAAAGATTGGTTTTCAGAAGCATGCAGGCTTATCATCTTTTTCGAATTGTTAAACTTAAATTTTTTTAAAGTGCTAAATATGTAACCATAGTAATGGGGCTTAATGAGTCATTATACCTGGAATCCTTATGTTCCTTAATCTTTTCAAAGATGGTGACATAAGCATTTGTTGTTTTTTTGCCCTGTGTCATTACTTTGGCAAAGCACTTTAATCAATTTTTCTATATTTACAGTAATGCACACACACCATTGCTGCCTTCTGATGTATTTGATAAACCTTGTGTTTCGGGTCCCAAAAAGTTGGAATTCCATATCCCCTCAGATATACCAGTGGTCAAAGAGGGTAAGCAAATATAAACTGAATTACTCATTCTCCAATTTAATAAAATGTATTGTTTCCTAACACTACTAATTCCAACATTGTCTGTTCAGCTTAAAAAACAATTGTCTGTGAATTTACTTGTTCTTGGAGCATATTACTGAGCGTAAAAAAAAAAAAAAAAAAAAAAGTCTACTAGGGAGTTTGACATTCTAAGCAGTAGTTTTATTATCATTGAATTATCTGTCCATGATAAAAGTACTTTGTGTTTCAATATAGTATTAATTGTAGTATTCTTAATTATGTTTTTAATTTTCATTTCCTTTTTATTTTTTAATAAATTTGTTTTTATAAAATGTGAGCAAACGTGCTCTCTCTAAATATAAAATAGTGCTCACACAAAAATATTCTATATATAATATTTCACAATAATATTATGATAACACTTAAAGCAACACTATCTTGACCCCCCCCCCTCCTCCCCTAAATATAGTAAAAACAAATATTACATTTAAGGCTGCTGGCTCTACCCCTGATCTGCCTGCTCGGCTGACACCATCAGAAGGGATTTTCTCAGCAAATCACAATGCTTTTCTGTAGGAAAGCATTGAATTGTGTGAGATTGTCAAGGAGGCAGATCACGGGCAGAGCCAGCACAAGCCAAACACAGCCCTGGCTAATCAGCATCTCCTCATAGAGATACATTGAATCAATACATATCTATGAGGAAGTTCAGTGTCTCCATGCAGAGGGTGAATACACTGAATGGCAGTGCTGCACAGGAAGCATCTCTAGTAGCCATCTGAGTGGCCAGTGGGGGTATCTAGGCTTCAATGTAAACACTGCATTTTCTCGGAAAAGACCGTGTTTACTGCAAAAAGCCTGAACGAGATGATTATATTCACCAGAACAAATACAATAAGCTGTAGTTCTTCTGGTGACTATAGTGTCCCTTTAACCATAGATAACAAAGTGGCTGTGGAAACGTCAAGATTATACAAATGTTCCTTTTAGAACAGTGTTTTGTGCATTAGAGGCTCATTATTGTTCGAAGCTGCTGTTGTAGGAAGACAATGATCCTCTATTGCAATAGTCCCACAAAGCCTTCAACTTGTGTTTCTGCTATTAATTAATTGATCCCTTTAATTTACCGTAAGTACTTTTCAGGGGCTTTTAATAATACAGAATAAGGCAACAGGGCACACATAAAAAAATTTATATCCTTACAAGGCTACTTAAAAATCACCTTTTTAGCAAACAAAAAAGACTTACAGTTACACTGTATGGCCATGTCGTGTTAAGCCCAGCACTATGTCATAGCCCAATATTGGTGAGTCTGATATTAATTTTAACATGGGAGATGAACATGTTAAATGCAATACTTGTTGCTTAGTCTGCTTCTGTTGACTCTCCTCAAATTTATGCTCTCATGTGGTCTCATCCACAGCACCTGGAATAGAGGGGCACTGGGTTTTTTAGATCTAAATAGAGAAAAGGGGATGTGGGAAGCACACCCACAATATGCATTTCTCAGCGTGTCCCAAGGCCCCCTTTTTTTGGTTCCTTTAACCCCTTAAAGACCAAACTTCTGGAATAAAAGGGATCTTGACATGTCACACATGTCATGTGTCCTTAAGGGGTTAAAGGAAAACTCCAGTGCCAGGAAAACTATCCGTTTTCCTGGCACTGCAGGTACCCTCTCCCTCCCACCTCCCATGCCAGGTAGCTGAATGGGTGAAAACCCTTTCAGGTCCCTTACCTGAGACCCCGCCGATGTCCCTTGATGGTGGTTTCAGGTCGGCGTCGCTCCTCCCAGTAATCACATCAGTCAGTGGGCGAGACTGATCCCGCCGGCTGAGGAAACCTAACGCCGCGCACGCGCATTAGGTCTCCCAATAGGAAAGCATTGAAAAAGATTTTCGATGCTTTCCTATTTTGAATTGAGCGACGCTGGAGGTCCTCACACAGTGTGAGGGCGTCCAGCGAAGCTCTAGCAAAGAAAATCTTTGCTATGAATCAGGAAGTGCCCTCTAGGGGCTGTCTAGTAGACAGCCACTAGAGGTGAAGTTAACCCTGCAATGTAATTATTGCAGTTTATAAAAAACTGCAATAATTACAGTTGCAGAGTTAAGAGTAGTGGGAGTTGGCACCCAGACCACTCCAATGGGCAGAAGTGGTCTGGGTGCCTGGAGTGTCCCTTTAAGCATTTGATAAATAATGTTATGTCCTTTCTTTTTCAATATTTTTTACTTTTACTTTGTGTACCCAATTATGAATACTTGAAGTGTATTGCTCTAGTCCTATTAATAAATTGAAATTCTATTTGCAAACAACAATGTAAAATATATATGAGGTGAAATGTAATTGCTAACTGAAGGAAGGAAAACAAAAAGGTTATTAATATAAGAGTAATATGCCAGCTTGCTTAGTATCGTTAAGGGGGAGAGAGAAAATGGAAAGATGTTAATTTGAACTGTTTGGAAATATGAACAATTAAATACTTTGGCAATCTTGTGATAAGGTTTTTGTTAAGGTGTGTATTTTTAGATTTTAATAGTGGTTTAAAATCACCGGTGTTACCATCTTCTTTTTTTTTTTTTTTCTTTCTTTCTTTTAGAGTCAGAAAAGGCAGATAACGAGATTGAGGACGTGCAAGGTTTTGGAAAAATTTACCCAGCCCCAGCACCCAAAGATGAGAGTGAGGAGGAAGATGATGATGACGATATGCCAAAGGACTTTATTTCCAGGAGAGAATTAGAGAAGAGAAGAGTGTCCAAAGAAGGTAATGAAATACACTGTGAATTTCATGACAGGTTTAAAGTTCTATAAGGGGAATTATCAAAAAGCAAATCTTCATTACATGGTGATTCACTAAACTGCAAACTATAGCAATTTGAAATCTGAATGAAAAAAAAGTAATAATTACAGTGACATTTTTATGCATGCTGTCCTCTATACCATTTAAATATATACAAACCACAAGATTGCAGCCAGAAATCCTTTATCTTTACACCTTGACTTGTTTTTTATAGAAATGAGAAAACTGTCTGTGTTCAAGAACTATGACCCTGGAGAACCAAACTGCAGATTGTATGTGAAAAATCTAGCAAAACAAGTTGATGAAAAGGTAAGGATGTTTGCACAGTCAATTCACATATATTTCTGTGTCTTACTGATTCTTTGTTGATTCTCATAATGTTTATTTTCATAGGAGCTGAAGTTTATCTTTGGAAGATTCATTGACTTTTCAAATGAAACCGATAAGAATATGTAAGTAGGAATGAATTCATGTGTACCGTGACACCATATATCTTGCATAGTGACAAACATTCTCTAGAATGTTGGGCCTACATGTATGTTGTGAAAATTTTTCTAAAACTTAGTACCTTGTCATCTTAAATTATTGTTTGCAATCATGGTAGAGACATTTTAACACTTTTTCACTACATCAAAAGCTGGGTATTTGTCCCCTCCCCATCCACTCCATTGACTAAAGATATGCAGTCACAGGATTTATGTGTTCAAAATTAAGTTGATATCACTTGCTTTTCTAGTAGCCCAATCTTGCATTAAGTCTAAACATTTACTTTTTATGAAAAAGGTAGATTCTTTTTGTATCCATCTGATACCGCTATAATTCATTAAACATGCATTCTTAAAAATATCAAGAATGTTTGCTTCACTGCACTATTCTAGCAAGTCAAGAATTATTGAACCTGAATTAGTAGCTGTCTATTATTTATTTATTGTCTTTAAAAAATTACAACCATTGTTATTTTTTTCTTTTATTGAAAATGTTGATAGGTTTGACATTCGCTTGATGAAGGAAGGTCGAATGAAGGGACAAGCTTTCATAGGATTCCCCAGTGAAAAAATTGCTGCCCAGGCATTAAAACACGTCAATGGTTACACCATTCAAGACAAACCAATGGTGGTTGTATCCTTTTGCTGGATAATTGCAGTGTGGCGGTATACCCTCCTGAAGATGGGTTAATACCGCCTGTGGTCGCACCTTCCAGTTGTGATCCGCTCCAGAGTGATTGTAGCTGCTGAGTAGTGATTATAGTTACTGCCGAGGGTAACCGTGGTATCACCCAAACACTAGCCGAGACTGAGTGAAGGGTGAAGTCGATCTGTTCATTCCCAGCCAAATGGCTCACATTTATATAGAATCTGGTACAGTAGACACTTCCCAAAACACGCCCATAAACACACCCACAAAATGCATTGTCATCGCAACTCAGCAAAAACAATAACAAATATGAAAAACCATAAACACATTTCCCATATAGGAATTCCCACAGTCCATACATTCCAGGATAGCCTGGATTTGAGCACACAACATATCCGAAAAGCACTCAGATCCCACAAACAGAGCCGAAACTCCACCGTGTGGAATTTCTGACCGGCCGCAAACATGGTCCTATGCCCAAAACAGTTCCAGGGCGTCTTGTGCTTTTGGCCGGTCAACTTCGGGAATTCCATGTGGAAGAAATACCGAATGCACACTCTGGCTTCTTGGTAGCGTTTCTTCGTATGAACCATACAAACAAACCTACCGAATGGCGCTCTCCTGACTTGTGTGGGGAAGGAGTAGGTGTTCGTCCAAGTTCAGCGGTGTTTGGGAGTTTGTGTCCGATTTTAGTTTCACGTGATCGACGTCCAAACACCGCTGCCTGCATTCTCCGAACAAGATGGCCGCCACACAGTTCCCACGCGTTCGTGCATACGAACGGCGGCCACCCTGCTGCATAATTAGAACCCACACTGATAGAACTGTCAGGAGAGGTTAACAAGGGTCAATAAGCACAGAGGTTCCCGTACAGTCCAACGGAATCCCATGAACCCAGTCTTTCAATATCCTTTTAGGCATGGCCCATAGTCCTGAGGCAGGAGGCTAGTAAGCAGGCTTTTCCAGGAGCCCGTGGGGAGGGCAAGTTCGCAACATGCAGATTGTCTTTTTTTTTCCTGCAGTTATTTCCAAATATAAAACTATACAGAGCTGATAGATGCCCTTTCTTCTCTTTGATAACATATTTTCTTATAAACTGACACTTCAGAGGAGTAAAAGATGACTTTTAAAAAAAATAAAAAAAAATTTATACTCTCCTTATTTCCAGCGTTGCGCCAGTTTCTTCGAAGCTGGCTCTGCCTCCTTGGCGGAGATCTTCAGATGTGAAAATTTCCTTATTGAGAGTCTATTGAGCATGCATGGCAAAACCCTGCAGTGCACCAATCAGCATCTCCTCATAGAGATGTATTTAATCAACATTTCGATAGGGAGCGTTCAGTCATGCAGAGCAGATACTGTATGCAGCACTGACCCAGGAAGCACCTCTAGTGGCCATCTGAGTGACTGCTACTAGAGGTGTTAATAGGTAGTAATGTAAACACCTTTTCTATTTAATTCTTACTGTACCTTTTATTTTTCATGTCCCTGAAATGTAACTGAAACGGTAGTGTTTGCATTAAAAAGCCTGCAGATCAGTGTTTGCATTTAAAAAAACAACAACCTGTAGTTGTTCTGGTGACTATAGTGTCCCTTTAAGTAATAAATGAAAGGTTAAAAATTGACACATGGGCCCTATAATGAAAAGTATATTTAGGAGTAAAACAAAGTCATACTGTAGCAAATATTAATTATGATTTACAAAATCACATGGTTGAGGGAACAACAGCGTGGTTTAAAAGTATACTTGAGTTGTCCGGAGTGAAAACTTTGAAGTATACAGAGAAGAATGTCTGTTACAACATTAAGACAGTTTGTGAGTTTAAAGTATGATCTGTTTGTAAATGAGTGGTTATATATATATATATATATATATATATATATATATATATATATATATATATATATATATATATATATATATATATATATATATATATATGTATGTATTATAAGTGAGCATTGGTTGTTTACTGTGAGACTGTCAACAGCAAAGAGGTAAGCCTGATACACAGGCAAGCTCATCTTGGAAATAACATTGTTGGGTTTACCGTGAACAGAGTTGTAAACCAGGGAATCCGTATGAGAGCAAACAGCAGTACAATGGGTGGTTTAGCAATAGAATCAGGATATCAGAGCTGAGATCAGAAGCCAGCAATTGAATAGAAGAGAAGGAATTAGCAGCAAAAGAGACTGAAAGACAACTGGGTTACACAAATGCAGCAGATTTGGGTAGGACTCCATAACCGAGAAATGATCAATTACAGACATGGGTATATATAGGCAGGTAATGGTTGTATGCTAAAACAATTTAACCTTGCTGTGGAGACATTCTGACATAATTACCTTAATTGAACAACAGCAATTTGCTCGATCTGCCCGACCCAAGACAAGTACTACTGAAACGCAAAAGAAGCGATAGATGAAAAGGTAGGTTGTGTAAAGCGAAGTGTATCTAGGTGATTGGCCACAGACGCTTTTATGATTCCTGGTCTTTTTGGGGATCAGACTGATAATGATATATATTTTAGGTGTATTTACCACATAAAAGAGAAGGTAAAAAAACAGGCATTTATTTCTCCATTATTTTACACCTTATATTGCAAATGCAACCTCCGCATCATTTTTTAAATTTAATTCAATTCAGTTGAGTTCTCATTGAGGGCTTCTTAACCTGAAAGATAAATACAAATAGAATTAAAATATTATGACTCTCCTCCTTTATCCTGTTAAATTATATGGGCCAGACGAAGATGATACCTAAAGTAAAACAAATCGAATGCATTAATTTCACAATTTACTTTCTTGACATAATTTTATTTAAATTTTTTTGCCTTATCCTTACATATAAATAGATACTAAAGGACCACTATAGGCACCCAGACCACTTCAGCTCAATGAAGTGGTCTGGGTGCCAGGTCCATCTATGGTTAACCCCGCCTGCTTTAAACATAGCATTGTTTTTTTTAAATATGGGTTTATCCAGCCTCTAGTGGCTGTCTCATTGACAGCCGCTAGAGGCGCTTCTGCGCTTCTCTTTGTGATTTTCACAGTGAGAAGACGCCAGCGTCCATAGGAAAACATTAAGAAATGCTTTCCTATGGACTGACTGAATTTAGCCAAAGAGGGAGGAGAGTCCCCAGCGCCGAGGGTTCCCGGCGCTGGAGAAAGGTAAGTGTTTAACCCCTTCCTTCCCTTAGAGCCCCGCGGGAGGGGGGCCATGAGGGTAGGGGGGACCTAAAGACCATATAGTGCTAGGAAAACTAGTTTGTTTTCCTGGCACTAGAGTGGTCCTTTAAGTCTTAAATATTAGACATTGTTTAAATTATTACATGGCATTTTCCAGCCATAAATGATAAAGGGCATTTTGTAGAGAAAATTGTAATCACAAACATATGATTCTCTGTGTGTTTGCAACTGGTTTGGTCCACAAAACGTTTTGATTTTGCACAATCTGTAGCTTGAAGTCTGCCTGCTACTTAAAAGAACTTTCTGTGGGTCACCAGTTCCCTTTTATATTGTATTACTTGTTGCAAGAAAGTAGTCTTTAAAAAAACGCAACAAAAGCAATGACAAACCATAGAGTAAAATGTAGGTATATTAAAAAAAAAGGTTGCACATTGAAATTTCAAAACTGCCTTTTGGTATATAACTATAATCTGCTTTAAATGGACATGCTTCACTGGACAATTATTTATTTAATTTTTAAACCAGCAAGCAAACACTTTTAAACAAATATACAAACAAAAGAAAACAGCCAAGAAAAACTTGAAAAGTATGTAATAAATGTTCAGTTCCGATTTCATTGTTGGGCATGCCTCTCAGCGAGAGGAGTTTCTTCAGCCTCTCCCACCCCTTTACCCATGATCTAAGTTTTAGACCAGTCCACTAGTGACAGAGACAGGGCCTCATTGTGCTGATGCAGGAGAGAGAAACACAACACAGGCACCTGCTCTGCATGAATCACTGATCAGACTCTCTCTCTTTCCCTGTTGTAAGGTGAAGAGATCTTCCTTGCTGCTTATGCGTAAATCTGTCAAGCATGCCCAATGTACTCTTCCAGCATTACTAAGGTTAGATCAGTGTTCCCCCTGGAGTGGGTGTGGAAAGCATAAATAAAGAAAAGCAGGTGAATATGAAAACAAAATATTTGAGGCAATTGTTTCATTAAAAGCTTCATCTCAGTTATCTTATAGTGATGCATGTCCCTTTAAAGGGTTTTTAGATGCTGATCATACAATCCATATATCAGAAGTTATTGTAAACACTAGTCAACTTTTCTATTCTCAAGATGGAATATCGTGTAAACTTGAAATTATTCGTAACTGATTACTTATTGCTGAGAATCACTTTTTCTACAAACAGGAGAGAGGTGTGTGAGTTGTTTTCTGTAATTATTACAGACAGTGCAGTAAAAACAGTTATGCTATTCTTCTTCCTAAAGATGGCCGTGTAACTGCTGTTGTATGATGAAAATGTATCCTTTCTTGTTGTATCCTTTTGTGTATAAATTGATTTGCGTTAAAATAACTTATTAAAATAAAAATTAAGTATGGATTTCATCAGTGCTTACAAAGTGTTGCACTGATTCACCAAGCCTTCCTTCCGCATCTTATGAGATGGTACAATTCTACATATTTTTTTGTGCCTCCTCATTCCCTTTGGGACCATTACGCTTGAATCCACAAATCCTGTTTATATATACAATCCAATACTATGTTTTACACAAAGATGCATCAATAGCATATGACAACACCTTTGTATGTTACAGCTCCCTGGTTTCCCACAACGTATACTTCCCTACCACATATTTTAATATCATACTTAAGTTTTATAAAAGGAAAGGAAACTTGTGTATATTTCATGTGAAACAGGTTTTTTTTTATTGCTTTTTAAACCATCCCAAAAAAGAGCTAGTTAAAAAATAAATATTACTATAGGTTGTCTAGATAATATTCTCTACCTGCGAAAAGCAGACCATGATATATTGTTGCTTGTTCTAGATATGCATGCTGCTGAATTTTCACATTTGTCAACTTTTTTGAACTGCTGTCATTTTTTTCTTTCTTTCTTTTTTCTTTAAGTTTTGCAAAGTGACTATTTGAAATGTTAAACCTAAAGAAAAGTAGGAACTACTTTTCTTAGTGTGTAACCTGCAGGGGTTGACAAAGGGTGGAGATTTAGTCCATGTCAAGCTCTTACCTCTTTCCAGCATTGTCACTTCTTGCAGCATTGTCACCTTTTCTCTGTGTTGACTCAGTGAGTCAACACAGCGCAATGCAAAGTCTGACATGCATGACCTAGGAAGGGGAGACATTGAGATTTCCAGAAAGCCACATACAGGAGACATAAAAATGGCTTCATGAAAAAAGACCGAGTGGGACTTGAAAAAAGGTAAGTAACACTGAACCCTGGATCACTCAAAATCATTTAGGGAGACCCAAAGAAAGGCTTGTGCCATTCGTCAACTTTTCCTTGGACAGGTTATTTTCTGTCTAAGTGACACTCCTTTATTATTTTTTTTTTTTTTTTTTATTAAGATAGATTCTTTATGGAAAAGCTCGTAACTGATTTGGAATCTCATGGAACCAACGCAATCAAAAGATGTTCATGAGAAAAAATAGACTACTTTTTTTTTTTTTTCTCTTGTGTAATATTTGTTTATGACCATTCACTGTGCTTTTTTTTATGGAACCTGTGTAATTCTCAATAGATGTCTATGGCAACTCCTTGAACAAGAGTAATGTTATCTTCATAAGATCCCATTGATTCACAGGATCTTCCATAGAACCTGTCCTCTACTCTAGTGCATGTGCAGTAATGATAGGTTCCTGGCAGATGAGGCTACCAGAAACGTAAAGATATCAAACCAGAAGACTGCCGTGACAGTGCAGCTCTAATCTTAAAGGGACACTATGGTCATCATAACCGGCATACAGGTTAATGTAGTGGTTCTGATGTCGATAGCATGTCCCTGCAGCCTTAGCACTGTGAAAACTTCCTTTTCCATTGCTGGCTAGTTATATGTTTAGTGGCGGTCACTTAGCCACGAATACAGAGCTAGCCACAGTGAGGTGAGACTGGTGCGGCGTGGGGAAAAGTCAGTAAAACCATGTTTTCACTGCAGAGACTGTGGGTGGGAAGGCAACCACCCTGGTCCTAATTTGTCTTCTTACTGATAAAGTAATGATTATAGGCTTGCTGTCAGTGGAACTATTTCTGGCTTGTCTCTGAGCAGTGCGGGGGGGCTGGTACTGGAGAAGGTTTTTGTCCGGCAGAAGAGAAGCATGAACTCGTTATGTTAGATAAAATATTTTGTTTTCTGTATGAATTGCAATTAACTATCCTCGTTAAACACAGCTAACCTGTATCTGCTATACCATAGAACATTGTAACCTCTATTAACATGGCACATTAGTAAACATAAAAGAAGCCCCACTCTGAATGTAATGTTAAATAAGTTTTTTTGTGTTCCAAAAATCTGACCACAACCATAAAGCGTATACTTGTTACAGCTCCCACGTGTGAATTACAGTACACTCACTATATAAATTTATTTATTTGTTTTTTTTATCTATTGATCTTCAATATCTTTTCCTATTCATCGCTTATTGTTTTCTCCCTCAGTTCCCATGTGAAGGTTTAAAAAATATAAACTGTCAATGCATGCATCTATATACTTTTCTATTTATTTTTTTATGCCATGAAAAAATATATCTATTCAGACTTTAAATCCAGCTTAATTATGGTTGCATAGAAAAAGAAAAACCCCAAATATAAAACAGATCAAAGAAAATTCAATAGACGAGTGCTGGTTGATATTTGGCAAACTACTGTAGATAATGTTTCCTACAAAGCTCAACAAACATTTCATCTAAACGTCATGCCAAAGCTTAGCCTTTGCTGCCGTGGAGCCCTTCTGTCATGCTTTAATGAGCAATACGAGCTGCAAGCTAAAATAACACATAGGTTGTATGGCAGTAGTTTAATTTTATGTTTAAAATAAAAACAAAATGAGATTACCAAATAGCAAGCAGTGCATCACTGATATAGTGTATGTAACCAATTTTTAGCTTTTTTACAGCTTTTTGTTATACAGAATTTGCAAGCAGACAAAATACATAAAACAATGGAATGTGCCCATTCGAATTTATATTAAATTAAAAAAAAATAATAATGTTTAAAGCATAGTTATTCCCTGCTAATCGATAGTGTAATTTAAAGTTATTAGCATGCATTCATTTTATAGCTAATCTAATTATTTTTCAGATGGTTGGACCGCATGAGGTGACAGATTTAATTTTTGTATAATATTTCAGGGCAAAAGGGTCTTCGGTGTTGGAGGACAAGACAAAGGAGCTGCACAGAACTAATGCAGAATATTACCTGTATATTTTAAGTATAGGTTTGTACATTTTGTTTTTCAAGGTTGTTTTCATGAAGCATGTAAATAAAATTTATTTTCTAAACTGTGGTCTGTCTTTTTTTTGTTTTTGTTTTTTTATACACAATTATGGAATGTTTTCAAGTTAACTCTTTTTTTTATTGTGCAACATGACCAACTGTTTTGGTTCCTAAAACTCTGCCACCTCAAAATTACCTTTATCGTTTTGTTTCTTCTTCTCTTCCTCTTTCAGAATCCTTTATTCATTTCTGATCTATTTCTCTTTAACCCTTTAAGGACACGACATGTGACATGTCATGATTACCTTTTATTCCAGAAGTTTGGTCCTTTAAGGGGTTAAAGCATATCTATATTTCCTACGCTTGTCTATTGTGAATAAAGGCTGGAAGTTAAAGGGAAACTCCAGGCACCCAGACCACTTCTGCCCATTGGAGTGTTCTGGTTGCCAACTCCCACTACTCTTAACCCTGCAAGTGTAATTATTGCAGTTTTTTATAAACTGCAATAATTACCTTGCAGGGTTAACTCCACCTCTACTGGCTGTCTACTAGACAGCCACTAGAGGGCACTTCCAGGTTTCGCTGGACGTCGCACTGTGTAAGGATCTCCAGCGTCGTGCATTTTCAATGCTTTCCTATGGGAGCGCGCATGCGCATTAGGTCTCCCCGGCCGGTGGGCGGGATCAGTCTCTCCCACCGGCCGATGCAACCAGAGGGAGGAACGGCGCGGAGGAAGAAGCAGCGATGTGGGAGGAAGAATAGTCGCTGCCTCAGGTTAGTGACTGAAGAGGTTTTCACCCCTTCAGCAACCGGGGGTTGGGGGGTGGGAGGGAAAGGGGACCTGCAGTGCCAGGAAAACTGATTGTTTTCCTGGCACTGGAGTTCCCCTTTAAGGCAAGCTATAGTTTGTCAAGCTAACAAAGAAAGAAGCTTGTCTTAAGCTCCACACTTTGTCAAGATTGCAAAGTATAGGAAAAATACATAAGACAAAGTGGTCTCTATTTTAATGTTTTAAAGATAAATGAATCAGAAATTAAGAAAAGAGCAGAATCTTAAAGAGGAAAGGAAGATGAAACAATAAGGTAATTTTAAGGTGACAGCCACTTTAAGTGGTCTATTTATATGTACATAGCATATTTGCTCCTGTTTTGTTTAGCTCAACAGCATCTTCTTGTCTGCAGTTTCTTTAAAAAAAAAAAAAACTTTGATTGCACAGGTTAATCCAAGATGCTCACCAGGAGCAAATAAAAAATCAATCTTTATTCTCAATTTGTTGAAACTTTACAAATTTAAATTATAAAAGGAGGAGAAAAAATATAGAAAATAAATGTAATAAAGTGTGATTCAACCAGACACCGTTCATGTGTAGACAGTGCTTACAGGCGTAATGGCTTGTAATAGTGTTTTACCAGTACATGGATTCCTTGTCATTATTAATTCAGGTTAATAACGTACGTTATTTTGTTTATTTTATGATATCCAATAATGTATTGGCTATAGAAGGGTATACAAAATGGTACACATTTATTAATACTAGGTTCTTTAAACTGGGCAGCCAGTTTTCAATTTTCTTGAACCCCTCAAAAGCAAACTTCTTGCATTCCTTACTTTCAGTAGACCTCTTGGAGTAGAACATGGTTCCTTTGTTGGATCAATCTCACAATGTGAAATTTGAAGGGCAGATTCTTGGTTAAAAAGGCTTAAGTCCAGAAGTTATTGACATTCCTAATTTCTCCTAGAAAAACTGTACTCATGGATTCTATCTGCATGTCAAGGTTTTCTTGAGAGCTTATATTTGTTAATCTGTCCTTTTATTAAACTTTCCATTTTTGCAAGTGATTTTACTGAATAATGGAAACCTTAACTTCCTGATTTAGTTTTGGTAAACACAAAATTTGCAATGTTTGTACTTTGTGGTCACCTTCTTTAGGTGAGTGTCTTTCACCTCACCCTCTTGCAAATCAGCCAAGCAGTCTGACCCACAAGTCTTCTGTGCCTGCTTCTTCTATCTTCAGCATGGGAACACACGCCAGGTGCTGGCGTTCCACGCCGTTGTAAGTTCTGCTTATGTCTCTGCAGGGAATGGCGATGGTGCGTTGCACGCACATGCTGGGACTCTCTGGCGGTAGAGCACATACACAGAAAATTATTAGCAGTCTCATGCTTTTTGATGACTCTGCTGGCGGTGTTTCCGTGGGCCATCCACCTAGCCCTGCCCCAGAAGTGGAAGAGATTGAGTGCAATGGTGCACAACCACTTATGTATCAGGATGTGGACATGTAAGGACCACAGCAGCACGTTTCTGATGATGACGAAACACAGGTGCCAACTACTGTGGCTTTCTGCAGCGTGCAAACCGGCAAGAAGGGCAGGGTTGAGGAGTGGGTGGAAGAGGAGGAGGTCCTAGACCCCACATGAAATGAAGGTCATGCGAATGACGTGCGCAGTTTGGAGGAAGAGGCGGTGGTTGCACAGAGGCAGCAGCACAGCATAAGAGGGAGCAGGGTGCAAAAGTGGAGCGGCCGTCCCCTAGACGCCCACCGCACCCAGGGACCGAGCACACCAAAGCCAGCTCCAAGGAGTTCCCTGGCGTGGCAGTTCTTCAGACAATGTGCTGACGACGAGACACTAGTGGTTTGCATGCTGTGCAATCAGAGCCTGCAGCGAGGCATAAACGTTCTAAACCTGAGCACAACCTGCATGACCAGGCATCTACAAGCAAAGCAGGAGCTGCAGTGTAGTAAGCACCTCAAAAACCAAGAAAGTTCTCCGGCTCCTCCTGCTTCCTCTTCTGCTGCTGTCTCGCCCTCTTCCTCCACCTCTTGAGTCACAGTGGCACCTGTCATCCTGCAAACAGAGGCAACGCCACCACGTCCACCACCGTCCCCAAGCATCTCCACACTGTCCCATGGAAGCGTTCAGCTGTCCATCTCCCAAACTCTGGAGAGAAAGAGGAAGTACCCCCCTAGCCACCCGCGATCCCTGGCCCTGAATGCCAGCATTTCAAAATTTGTGGCCTTTGAAATGCTGTCATTCCGTCTGGTGGAGACAGACAGTTTTATAAACCTAATGGCGGTGGCTGTCCCACAGTACATGGTTCCCAGCCGCCACTACTTTTCCAGGCGAGTCATCCCTTCCCTGCACAACCAATTCGTGGGCATCACTGGAACGTGGCTGGGGGGATACAGAGGACACAGACGATATAGCTCCCACAGAGGACAGCTTGACCTTGCCTCAGGGCAGGCTGGCACATATGAGCGACTAAATGCTGCAGTGCCTGCGCAACAACTGCCGAGTTGCCCACATTCTAACTTGTGCTGATTACTGGGTGCCCACCTTGCTGGATCCCCATTACAAGGACAACGTGCCGTCCTTAATTCCCTCACTGGAGCGTGATCGGAAGATGTGCGACTACAAGCGCACGCTGGTAGACGTGCTGCTGAGTGCATTCGCAACTGAAACCGGGGGCTCAGTGGAAGCACAAGCGAAGGCAGAGGAGGAGGAAGAGGTCGCCAACGCAGCTGGGGCACCGCCAGCACCTCAGAAGGCAGGGTTAGCATGGCTGAAATGTGGAAAAGCTTTGTCAGCACGCCACAACAACCAGCACCACCATGTGATATGGAACGTCTTAGCAGGAGGCAGCATTTCAGCAACATGGTGGAACAGTACGTGTGCAGACGCCTACACGTACTGACTGATGGGTCTGCCCCATTCAACTTCTGGGTCTCCAAATTGGGCACATTGCCTGAGCTTGCCCTTTATGCCTTGGAGGTGCTGGCCTGCCCTGCAGTCAGTGTATTGTCTGAACGTGTGGGTAGACTGACTGCAGCCCAGGCAGTCTCCCCATGGCGGATTGTGACCCCGGGGGCCATGTGATCGCTCAACAGAGTGGTCACATGGTCACAATAGGTGTCCTAGTGTCTGCCTGTGCTGACAGACAGTCTCCCTGCTAGTGTAAAAAAAAAAAAAAAAAAAGGTTTATGTTAATAAAAAATAATAATTATATATGTGGATATGAAATTTTATTCTAACTGTATTTTGATTATATAAATTAAAATACGAGATATACATATGTCCATATACAAAATTACATAAATAATTATATAAATATACAGGTAGACTTCAAACATATAAATATGCATATATATTTAAATTCTATGTTCGTATTTGTAATTTTTACATAATTCAGTAATTTTATTGATTGCAATTTGAGGGACCTGCCTGACAACCCAGGCCGAAAGTCAAGATAATTTCATTTGCTAGCACTGTATTTTATCCTGTAACTTTCTATGATACCCTAAAACCTGTACATGGGGGGGGGGTACTGTTGAAAAAAAAACTGCTAAATAGATTCAACATTTTGTCCTCAGTTTAAAAATACCTAGTGTTTACATGCTTGTTTGCTTTTTTTTTTGCAAGTTATAGGACTATAAGTACAAGTAGGATATTGCAGTTTCAAAACATACATTTTTAAAATGTATCAATAGTGACATTGTAACACTATTATCTGTCATAAATCTCTGAATAACACCCCACATGTACATATATATATATTTTTTAAGTAGACAACCCAGGGTATTCAATATGGGGTATGTCTAGTCTTTTTTTAGTAGCCACTTAGTCACAAACACTGGCCAAAGTTATTGTTCATATTTGTTTGTGTGTTAAAAATGCAAAAAAACGCTAACTTTGGCCAGTGTTTGTGACTAAGTGGCTACTAAAAAAAGACTGGACATACCCTATTTGCAATACCTTGGGTTGTCTTGTCTTGGTATGCCTTCATGGAGGTAATTCTCATTCCTGGGCTACCATACGCTCTCAAAGGCAACGTAACCAACCTGGCAATTTTCAATGTAAAAATATTTGATCCATATATTTGACCCTGTAACTTTCAAAAACTTCGCTGAACACAAAAATGAGTGGTTCAAAACAATAAAACATATAGTGATGATATTGACAGTGAAAGTGACTTTTTTTTGCATTTTTCACACACAAACAGCACTTTTACTGATGATATAATTGTTGTGATAAGTTTTAATGTTTTGAAACACTAATATTTGTGTTCAGCAGTCTCCCGAGTATAACAGTTTTTATAGCGTTTTTGAAGGTTACAGGGTCAAATATATGGATCAAATATTTTTACATTGAAAATTGCCAGGATGGTTACATTGCCTTTGAGAGCGTATGGTAGCCCAGGAATGAGAATTACCTCCATGAAGGCATACCAAGACAAGACAACCCAAGGTATTGCAAATAGGGTATGTCCAGTCTTTTTTTGGTAGCCACTTAGTCACAAACACTGGACAAAGTTAGCGTTTTTTGCATTTTTAACACACAAACAAATATGAACGCTAACTTTGGCCAGTGTTTGTGACTAAGTGGCTACTAAAAAAAGACTAGACATACCCCATATTGAATACCCTGGGTTGTCTACTTAAAAAAAAATATATATATATATATATATATATATACACACACATGTGGGGTGTTATTCAGAGATTTATGACAGATGATAGTGTTACAATGTCACTATTGATACATTTTAAAAATGTATGTTTTGAAACTGCAATATCCTACTTGTACTTATAGCCATATAGCTTGCAAAAAAAAGCAAAACAGCATGTAAACACTGGGTATTTTTAAACTGAGGACAACATTTTGAATCTATTTAGCAGTTTTTTTTCCCATTAGCTTTTTTAGATGAGTAAAATATTTTTCAAGTAAAAAACTTATTTTTTTTCAATTTTTCATCAAATTTTAAATTTTTTTTTTAAATTAAATTACATGAGATTATACAAATAATGGTATGTTAAAAAACACTTTTTGTCCTGAAAGACACAATATATAATTTGCATGGGAACAGTAAATGAGAGAGCGGAAAATTACAGCTAAACACAAACACCACAAAAGTGTAAAAAGAGGCCTGGCCGCAAATGTACAACATCGCAAAAACAGTCCGGTCCTTAAGCAGTTAAAAAAACAGTGTTGGCTACCTCCTCCTCCACTGCCGCTTCCACCTACACCGCCACGGTCACCGCCTCCTCAACCTCCTACTCCACATCCACCTCCTCCTCTTAGTTCAAGACTATTATTTTTTAATTTTTATGTTATTTTAAGTGATTTGTTTGCAGGGCACTTGTCCTACTCTTATCCTCATTTTACTTCCTTTTGCAGCCCTCTAGCCCTTTCCATTATTTTCAGAGGCATTTTAGTGCCCAAAAGTTCGGGTCCCCATTGACTTCAATGGAGTTCGGGGTCAAGTTCGATCCCGAACCCGGACTTTTTTCCTGAAGTTTACCCGAACATCCAGGTGTCCACTCAACTCTAAACATGAAGACCTTTTTAAGGTCTTAAGGATGAAGTGCCTCTATTGGGTGACAGCCACTGGATACTTGTTATCTGACAAACACAAATATTACTGTTTCAACAACAAAAAGAAAAAGGCAATAGTTTACATTGCCATAGAAAAAGGAATAAGGTACAGGCCTACATTAAATTGATCCATATGCTCAGTTCCATTCTCCTCTATAAAAAAAGCTTTCAGCATCATACTCTCTATTCCATTTTAGAACCAAGAAGCAGGCCATGCAGTTTTCCTAATAGTGAGCTACACAAGTGTGGAATAACTTACCGGAAAACATTAAATGTTCCAGAAATTCTTTAACTATGAAAATGACTTCATAACAACTGCTGACTGTTATATATGTTTATGTTTTGTGTTTACTAATCAACCAAAATAGTGACTAGCTAATACTTGAAAGTTCAATATATAGTTGACCTCTTCAATTGCTTTTTTATTATGGGAAATATTTTTAATCTTCAAGACATTAAATAGGTTGATAAGCATCAGATTTCATAATCATGTTCAGATTCCTACTGGTAGTATTTCTATATGAAAAGCGAAATTGGAACTTCCATGCACTGTCACATATTTGCCAGATGCAATTCCAATTAATTATATTGACCCAACCACACACAAGCTGACCGTCTCTGTACATTGTATTCTGATATATTGGAAGGCTTGGCCTGAAGTTGTGGGAGGGGCGTATGGACCTTTAAAAGGGACTCCCCCCTTCCTTACCCTACCGTGATTGGTCTGCTGACCTGCTACCCCGCCCTCCACTTCCTCTATTCACCATACTCTTCTAATGTAGGCCCACTTTATTTACCGGCCTACAGCATACGTCGGTTTCGGCACACCTCAACCGACATTTTCCTATCACAGGTTTCATATTCTATGTACCCCCGAACACAAATATAGTATATACTACCGCATACTTTATTTCCTCTACTGGAGACATGACAGTATTTCTAAATGTATGCAGCTATTTAGAACAACCTACTGGAAAATATGATGCAGTGGTTTCTGCTGAGAAATTACATGTGCGTAAGTAAATTTAATGTCATATGCAATTGCAGTGGAAAACAAACAAACCTACAAAATAATACTTTTATAATAATGAATAAAGGTTCTCAACTTAAAGGGACACTATTGATTTTTAATATGAAACCTTAACATCCATTTGAAATTTAAGTAGATATCTAGTCATAGTGACTTGATTGACAGTGTGTCTTGTTAATAATACCTCTGATACTTAGATACTAGGTGCATTTGTAAATATCTACTCTCTTATAGATCTATTTCTTTTCAGTAGTTGCTCTTATATCCTTATTTGCAGCTTAATTTTACTGTAAATAGTTTTTCTACAACTATATAAGGTCTGTTTTCTGTCTTGGATAAGACCTCACTTGTCTATAGTACTTCCAGCGTGCCACTGAATTCGAGTTAATGGGAATTATAAAACACGTGTGCTATCCTTTGGAATAAATATTGTATAGAAGTGGTTTTACCTGACATGTTTTTTTATATTTTCTATGAATCATTTAAGAAGATATTCATACTCATATTTGAGTATAGAGTAAGATTGGTAATGCTTTAGTATAATTATTACATTTGCTCATCTTACACTCTATACCAGGTTTAAGCATTAAGAGCGCTCACACTATACCTATATTTGATATATCTATTTTTAAGTCTCTCTTTTACTTTGTGAAGCTGCATAGGATGGACAGCAATGACATGGTAAGTATTTGCCATTAACTCCAAAAGGATTTGCTGGTTGTTGTTACATTTTCAGATTTTGCATAGTTCATTTTATGGTTGGAAATTAATCCATCATGAGATATTTCTTCCAGATTTGCCCACAAAGTAGGTAGCAGGTCTGTATTAACGAACAATAGGTCATCAGCATATGCTATCCACAGTACCATTCCAAATATAGAAAGGCGCCAATAGGGCATTGCTCATACAAAGTTTTGCTAAGGGGTCCATATATAAGGAACATATCCAGGTCCACATTCAAACTCCCTTAAGGTAGCGAACAAGAAGTCCCAGTCCACTCTGTCAAAAGCCTTCTATAGAGAGCAGGGGGATCATGACTTACTCCCTCCTTGATTATGCATCAGATTTAGAACCTGAATGTTGTTGTCTCTGACCTCTAGAGATAAAACCTGTCTGATCTGCTTGTATTAGAGTTGGTAGAGATTGTACAATATGTTGTGGTAGGGTCTTTGATAGAAGCTTAACATCAACATTTAAGGTCTAAATCGGATGATACTGGAGCAATCTATTGTGTCCTTGTCCTCTTTTGGCAATAAAGTGATATTAGTTAGACGTGCACCAGTAAAATTTTTGTTTCGTACAAGTGATTTAAATTAAAAATTTAATTCTTCAGTCTTGAATTTCGTCTGCAAACCATTCGTTTTCAAACTAAATTCGTTAAAAAATAATTAGTTTTTGTCCAGTATGACGAAAACAGCACTGCGCATGCGCAAAAAAAATTAAAATGCAAGGAGGGAGCCAGCAGCTCTACCAACTCCCTCCTAAACGAATACGAAAACCCAGACTTTTTGGACTAAATCGTATTTGTACGAAAATTAATGCACATGCCTAATATTAGTTAAACCAAAATGAGCTGAATGCGAAATCCTGTCTAGTATTGATTTGAGAGCATCAAGCAGAAACAAACAAGATTCTTAAAAAAAATGTCTTATAATAAAGTAGTGGGAAACCATCTGGTCCCTGGGACCTACCAGTTTTAGAGGATTCAGAGCAAAACCTAATTCCTCCAGTATGATCTGTTCCTCCAGAGCAGCTAGTTCTGCTGGTTGAGACTTTGGCAAAAACGTAGTGCCAAGGCATTCAGAGATTGCTCTTGCTCGTTCAGCGGTAGTCATCATAGGACCTTCCCGAAGAAGGTAGTAGAGATTGCGATATGTGAGAAAAGCCTCAAAGATACCCGTGGGAACTTGGGTTCCGTGGGTTGTATATTGTAGCGGAGATGCAATATTCCCCAGGTTATCTCCGCTTATAATCCAAGTGAGGCTCAGGAACAAGTAAATAATAAATCCATAGGCAAAGTTTCCAGCAGGTAAAACAACAGCAATATCCCCACAGCAATCCCAATAACTGGACGACACACAGTTTCAGGAGCAGAACTGAAAGCTTTTAATCCACAGTCTCCTTATAAAGCATGCTCCCATGCAAGGGAGGGATTTACAGTAATTATTACAGTAGCCAATCCTGTCCTGGTAACCTCCCACACATCTCCTCCCCTCAGCCAGCATCATAATCCCCTTATCCAGTACAGTAATTCCCCCCGTTTCTGGATGTACCCCTAAACGTAGGGGTACCTCTTTAAATCCTACATCCCCGGATACCCCTGATCTGGGGGAACAACATATCCAAAAATTAACCAGATCAGACCAGGGGTTCGGGAAATGTATGGAGGGAATAAAATGACCGACCGCACGAATTGAGATAGCCGAATACGGTTCCATACGAATGGGCCCTGCGGTCGGTCCTGGCATAAGGGAACAAAATACACGAAAGCCTCTAGCTATATTTTCTATCTACCAAACGAGGGGCCGTTCGGTAGTTTGGAACCGAATGGACCGGGTTTGTGGAGGTTCGCTTACTCGAGTGTCCGATTTTAGTTCCAGACACTCTACGGCAAAACACCGCTGTTCGGGAGTTTTAAAGCGGCCACCCCCGAGAACAAAGGACGGCTACTTCCTAGTCAATTACCCGTTCGCAACAATGTTGCAACGGGTAATTGAGGACACACTTTACACAGGGGAGGTCTGGTTGTATTTTCATTCGAATAAACTAAGGGAATGAAACTACCGAACAATCAGAAGAATACAAGGCTTTTACAACACATAGAAAACTAGCAGATCATACGAATGCAATTATTTCAAAGACATTTGCAGGACAGCCCAGTGCCATCCGCTACATATATGGCCTGTGGAGTTGTGCACCTTGGGAATGTACAAGTGTGCTTTTTACGTTGGTGTAGGTGTTTCACTGTTCACAGAGATCTTTATACTGACCGTATGCATGCTTAATATTGGAGTTTATTAGATTAACGTTGTGGCAGGCTTATGCAATGTATGATCATATAATGTAACTAAACCCCCATTATTTTTGCCTAGATTAGGTGTTTAAAAAAAAAAAAAAAAAAACTAATAAAATCTGTCAACATTGAAGTTGCTGTTTAGTGGATAGGCGAGTGCGCTGGATCTTGTGTGTGTATGTATATAGTCTATTGTCTGTTTGTGGTGTTTCTTCATATCCATTGAGGTCCATGAGTAATAAAGTGTCTTTGTAGTAAGTACCTATTTAATTCGCTTCCCATATAGAAAACCTTGAATCTTATGTGAGATTTTGCACTATATAGTCCCATATGGACTATAGATTCCAAAAGAAGGGCTTAATTCAAGTGCCATGCACATTGGCCGGACCTAAAAAGTTCTGACGTCAGATCACATCATGTGGAGGATATCTACGCTACAACGTAAAGGAAGGTAATAGTAACGCATGAAAAAGTAATACATTTTCATGTATGTACCTTGAGACTGTGAGAAGTAAGTGTTTCTTTTGGTACCAGTGATGTTCCTGGTTAAACCTGAAATCAGCTGGTATTTTGTAGAGTGACCGGACAGGGTGGGAGGGGACACCACTGGTGTCGTTCTATGGTTTACATAGAAACATAGAATGTGACGGCAGATAAGAACCATTCGGCCCATCTAGTCTGCCCAATTTTCTAAATACTTTCATTAGTCCCTAGCCTAATCTTATAGTTAGGATAGCCTTATGCCTATCCCACGCATGCTTAAACTTCTTTACGGGGTTAACCTCTACCACTTCAGCTGGACGGCTATTCCATGCATCCACTACCCTCTCAGTAAAGTAATACTTCCTGAAATTATTTTTAAACCTTTGTCTCTCTAATTTAAGACTATGTCCTCTTGTTGTGGTAGTTTTCCTTCTTTTAAATATAGTCTCCTCCTTTACTGTGTTGATTCCCTTTATATATTTAAATGTTTCTATCATATCCCCCCTGTCTCGTCTTTCCTCCAAGCTATACACATATCAGGACATAATAATAATGTTCCTTAGCACTAATCTGTTCCTTAGAATTTGATAAATACAACCTCAAAAGAACATCTACACACAGCATATTACACCGTGCCATGATATATTTTACAAAAATGAAGCCAAAATGGAGGAACCATGTGTGAAAATCTATAAGTAGTAAGTGGCTAAGTAACAGACAGGTACTGCTAATCAAATGTACTTGTTTAATTGACATCTCAGACTCTACAGGCCTCAGTTAGCTTGTTAGAGGTTATTATTCATACCAGTACAATTAGAAAAAGACTGAACAAGTATGGTTTGCTTGGAATGGTTGCCAGGAGAAAGACTTTTTTATCCAAAAAAGACATGGTAGCATGGCTTAGGTTTGCAAAGTTGCATCTGAACAAACCACAAGACTTCTGGAACAATGGCCTCTGGAGAGATGGCGCCACGTTTGGGGGAAACCAAACATAGCATATCAACACAATCACCTCATACCAACTGCCAAGTGCGGGTGGTGATTTGGGCTTGTTTTGCAGCCACAGGATTTGGGAATCTTGCAGTCATTGAGTTGACAATGAACTCCTCTGTATACCAAAATATTCTAGAGTGAAATGTGAGGCCATCTGTCTGCCTGGTAAAACTTGACCAAAATTGGGTCATACAACAAGACAAATCCCAAGCACACCAGCAAATCTACAACAGAATGGTTGAAAAAAAAAAAAAACAGAATCAAAAGAATCAAGCTGTTACAATGACCAAAGTCCAGACCCTAACCTGATTGAAATGCTGTGGTGGACTTTAATAGAGTTGTGTATAAACAAATGCCAACAAACCTCAATGAACTGAAGCAAAATTGTAAAGAAGAGTGGGCCAAAATTCCTCCACTACAATGTGAGAGACTAATAAAGTCACCCAGTAAATTATTAGTTTAAGTTATTGCTACAAGCTATTGAATCATAAGGTGTACTTAGTTTTTCACACTTGGCTACTCCATGTTGACTTTATTTTTGTTAAATAAATCATGGCACGGTGTAATATGTCATGTGTTGTTGTTCATTTGAGGTATTTACCCAAGTTTAAGACCTGCTAAGGAACAGATTATTGTTATTATGTCCTGATATGAACGGCACCAGCAGTGCCCCGACAGGTCACTCTACAAAACACTGGCTGGTTTCTGCATCAACCAGGAACATCACTGGTACCAAGAATGCCAGCCAAAAATGTGCTGGGTACATACAGATCATTTGTGTTAAATCATATATTCAGGTGGGAATTGTAAGGATAATTATGGGGCAAAATACATTAATAACCCATATTCAATGCACATATCTGATAGATAATGGCAGGTGCCAACCCTTGAATATCTGTAGGTCATAGTCAACAGTGAGGGACCTCACTTAGCATAGGATGAGGCATCTGGACTGACTGAGAATCCCCAAGGTTTCAGCATGGGAAGAGGTTGTCACTGAAAGTCACCCACGTCGACTTCAGCAGAGCTCCTGGTCACTCAATCAAACTTTGTCCAGTTCTTGCAAAACTAGCAGCATGGAACACCACCAGCATGGAGAGGGTCAGCAGAAGAAGAGGGGAAAAAAAAACCCTTCCCCAACAACCAACCAACTACCAATTTTTTACAGAATATTTGTGTTACATCACATACTTGGGTTGGAATGCAAGGAAACCCAATAATAAAGACTGTTAAGCAATAAAACAAGAATTAAAAGTTCAGTAGTCCAGGCACAAGAATGATTACCACCCCCCTTCCCCTCCTGTCCCAAACAAATAATGAGAGCAACATATGATGTCCCATGGAGGGACTCCCGGTGGTGGCGCAGGGTCCTGTGGGCTCACTATAGGCAAATTTGATAGCCATGCTCTTGACCCAGCTATAATGGTCCCTGCGGCTTCAAATGCAAAGATTTTTAACCTGTGGCTTTTACCTTGTACTTGTAGGTCCTCTGCGTGATCTTATTCTCTGTGATCCTTTCTTCAGCTTGGGTTACTCAGCCATTCAGTGTCAGGAGGTCAGCTCTGACCTGGAAGATCTCATCCCGAATAAGGCAAGAAAGCTGGTCTGTAAATACGCCATTCTGAGTGACCACTCTCCTACCTTAATGGGGTGCTCCCCTGTGAAAACAGGGTGTGTCTGCCATGTAGTGAGGAACTGCCATATGGACTGTGAGGTGCCACGACTTACTAACTATAACTTCCAGCTGGTTCTTCCCACTCATTGTGTGTCGAGAAGGGTATGTTAATTTGGGCCAATTATTGCTGATGCTACAAGGAGCTGTATAACTAAGAAGCGATTTTCCTCAGCTGCTTGACATACCCATTCATTTCATTTTGACACAATAAGTTATTATAGTTCTAATTTAGTGGATTTAGCAGTAAATTTTTTTAACTATACCTTAATACGTTTTATCTTTCATGTATACATATTTTGTAGCAGCTACTATGGATCATATTTACAATTTGGAGTAATGTGAATAATATTATACCTCTCTTTTTTATCACTATTCTGGCCATTCCAACCATGCCGTTATTGGCACTGCCCTGCTTGGCATGGTGGCATACATGTGAAGATTTGGTGGTAGCTGACAGCCAACATTTATTCTCTATTCAATTCAATTCAATTCAATAGGTTTACATCGCAGCAATCCCTGGTGAATAAACTTTCCATTTCAAGTCCTTCTTGAATACAAAGTACTCACCATTACTATACAAAAAAAAACAGTCCTGCGCTCAAACTCCCACTACTCTTGGTCAGCAGCAACAACCATAGTACACGTCAGCCCCAATACATAAAGTAAAAAAACAATGAAGTGTAGTTTCATATATGTTTGTTTAGAAAAGGGCACCTTTAATAATATGCCACTTTAGAATCAGCCTGATTTCTCCCACTTAATTTATACAGTTTTTATTATTATTTTATTATTTATATAGCGCCATCACATTCTGTAGCGCTGTACAATGGGTAATTGTATGGGTAATGTAATGAGAACGTACTACTTGCAAAACATTTTGCTGAAACTTAAAACAACATTCTTATAAGCATTTAAATACCCAATACTTCAAATTCTAATTACCATTCCATGCGAGTCTGAAGTCAGTATATAGATGACATTTGATTAAATCTGAAAAGTACCTGTGGCTATTCATAGTTTTATTTCCCCAATATATAACATAATACAGTTTGATCCAACATATTTTTTTTTTTACCATGGGATTCAGAGAAGATTGAATTTTAATGTATTTCCTTTATGTAGAAAAGAGTATAGGTTTAAGGCACAAAATGTCTTTCAAAGGATAAACTGTAAAAATTGCATTGATGTCTTAGTAGCTCTCAGAAAGGCTAGCTTGAAAGGCCTACAAGGCATGATTCAATACATTTAGGAAATGTTTTTTAGAAGAAAAAACCCTTTAGGAAATGCCATCTTTACAGAATAAGTGTAAATTATTAAAACAAACTTTCTAGAATAAAATATCGAGATGAACACTTAGAACAGGTCTTTAAGAAGACAATAATTAGGGCAGTGAATCTCCCTCATTCGGCCCATTTTTCCATTCTATCAGAAAATTGAACGTTCTTTAAAGAGATGAAATTCTAGGCATTGGGATTTTCATCTTGTATAAGTAAAATTTATTTTCTTGTAATAATTTCAGAGAAAACTTTCAGTTCTTCTGAATATGAAACATATTGTCATGTTTTTCTTTAACAAATGCCAAACAAAAAAATAATAACCACTCACTTTTTATTTTGAGGTAGTTTCAGCACGGCAAACTGATGTGGCAAATCAGCAGAGAGATAAACTGGCAGTCCTTGAAAATAGAAGTTTAGACAATGTATACAGGGTTAGTCCTTTATCCAGTCTGGGTTCGGTTTAATAGGAGATCAAGGAGCATTGAAGGAAATTCCAAAAGCAGAGTTAAGGCCAGTCCAAATTAGTTAGCCAGGAAATTAAAGTTATAGTTGTATGTAGAGGACATTCAGAAGGGATCCGGTACACATGGTCTCTTTGAGAGTGATCCAAATGATAAGGGAGGAAGTTCATGCAATCAGTCAGATTAACACATTAATTGTGCACTGAGGTGTTGGAGATTGGAGTTTAAATAGCCAAAGGCGTGTGTACTTCCATGCTGTCTTAAAAGGCCAGTAATAAATGAATAAAATTCCTGACACATTTGTTATAATAGATAAAAATATAAATTTTGTAATGCTATGCTTTTAATGCAGGGGCGTACCTAGAGCATTTGTAACCCGGGGCACCCCCACCTACCCACCCTCTTACCCCTCTTAAAAATGTAAAAAAATAAACTCCCACAAATTTGCACACCCACCCCTAATTAAAAAAAAAAAAAAAAAAAGTGTTGCCGTCAACAGACGTGGCCTCAAAGGCGCCGTGGCACGCACTATACGAATTGATGGGGAGTGACTCATGACACTGTCAGTAATGGCACCCCCAGTGAGTGGCACCCGGTGCGGGTTCACCCCCCAGCCCCTCCTTAGTACACCACTGTTTTAATAACAGCTCCTCAAAACTGTTTTACTTAGGCTAGCACTGGATGTTATGGTAAACAAGCAGCAAATCACAAGTACCTTTTAGTTATGATTAATTCCAATTATGAGCACTAACCACTTACAAATAAAAGTGAGATTTCTAGTGCTTGTTTAGTGCAGATGTGGCATCTTGAATTTCCCAAAAAATAGTCTCTTCTTTTCTGGCCATGAGTAGATATTGTTTAAACAGGATGCAGGGAAGCAGGGATTTATAGGTATCCTCAAATCCAAGAAGGCATGAGGTAGTATGGAAGCAAGACAATAAGGAACAGAATATAGTGAAGTAGTTTAATAGTTCTACTATAATAATTTATAGAATTGTTGTATGAAACTGTGCACTTGTAGTTAAGTGAACCAATAGTTAAAATGATTCTAGACATGTCCTGTAGCAGGAAGAGTGACCAGAGCCATTACTGTATTTTACAACAGATACGTTCTCTATCTCCACACTTATTGTAAATTAAAAGATAAAAATGACCAATTTTGAATGTCTTATTTAGCTTTTTACCTTGGCCAATTCTGGTTACAAAGCAGTATTATAAGATTTACTCATCTGTCTGTATACACACTATTAGGCATTTCATAGAAGAAAAGCTCCAGAATGATTTTGGGTCAGTAAATTAAACTCTTCTTCCAGATATTGTAGGTCATATGAGGTCAGCTTTATTGAATTAAGTAGTGAAATTCATCACTAGAATCCTAGTCAGAAATATGTACAGAAGCCCAGGAGCCCAGGGCCAAGAATCTTTTCTACACTTAATGGAATCCAGATCTCCCCTTGGACATATTCCTAGTACAAGCTTAAAGCTTTCGTTTTTATTGATTTTCCTATGCAGTGCAAATAACAGATTGAGGCACTCTTCGGTCATTAGTGTACTTCGGAAAATCACTTTCAGCCTTTTCTGTTTATACTATAGGTGTCCTGTCCTCTAATAATACAAAATGGGTTTATGCTCTATATAGGTCAAGAACTGTAATCTATTTTTTATCCTTCGCAGTCAACGTGTTAAATGTAACACATAGCTGCAAATTGCCAGCCACACAATCTTTTGGCAATAACGGTCAGACTAGAAATGATGTATTTAATGTGTATATTTCAAAAGGTCGGATTGAATGCTACACCGCTTAATTATTATTTTTTGTAAGCAAATTATTCTTATTGGTGTCTAAGTTTAAGTTTGGATGTTTGCTATATGTTAGGTGCCCTTGTATAGGGAACTGTATTTATATTTATTTTGAGCACACTATCCTATCGGTAGTCATTTCTACTACCTAGGCAACCTGCCCCTTACCTTTATCCTCCTGCTTTGGCTCTCTGTTTTAGATATCACAGAACTGTTACTGTGTTGCCAATCCACTAGACCAGGGATAGGCCACATGCGGCACTCCAGATGTTTTGGACTACATCTCCCATAATGCTCTTACACCCATAATGCTGGCAAAGCATCATGGGATGTGTAGTCCAAAACATCTGGAGTGCCAAAGGTTGCCTATGCCTGCACTACACTGTAGGAGTTTGCACTGTGTCACTAATAATTATGTAACTACCTAGGGCAGAACGATCCTTTGTTGCTATCAGATATCCCCCTCTGTTGAATTGATACAGTTACTAAGATTGGCACTGTAGGATCATTACCACACCAACACTTTAAGTGTAATATACAGGGGATCCAGATTACCCTACTGGTTTTAGATTCCATTTTATTTATTTATTTAATTTAAAAAAAAACAATTTATACTCACTATTGATTGAAAGTTAAGTTTTATTATATTAGGATCAGTTTGTGATTTACATATGGACTTACTCTATGATCTATATGGGTAGCATACACTTTACTCTCCCTTTTCTCTTCTAGTTCTTTAGTGTGCGTTACCCTTTCTCTGATTACTTTGAAGCTCCACCTCTCTGGTTTTTTTTTATTGGGGTCTAGGAAACATCATGTGATTTCATTTGACTGACGTGCATAACAATACACAAAACTAATGTGTAATACAAAATTCCACTAGTAGATCTTTTTTTCAAAAACCTTAAATGGGCTTAAAGCAAGCTCATCATCACAGAACATGCACAAATGCAAAATCCACCCTTCAAATATTAATTCAGCCCTGTTAATGCATCATGCCAAGAATCTGGTGCTCTCCATGCAAGGTTTCAGTTCATGTGAATCTCTGCTAGACCGAGACTCTGTTATATTTTGCCTGCCAATATGCTTTAAAGGGACATTATAGTCACCAGATGTCTAGAATCATTACCTTCAGACTTTTTGCTGTAAACCCTGTCTTTCCAAAGAAAATGCAGTGTTTACATTACAGCCTAGTGATAACTTCACTGGCCACTCCTCAGATGGCTGCTAGAGCTGCTTCCTATCTCAGTCTTGCTTACTGTGTATCACAACATATCAGTATCCCCTCCCTTTGCATGCAGACACTGAACTTTCCTCATAGAGATTCATTGATTCAATTCATCTCAATGAGGAGATGCCGATTGGTCAGGGCTGTGTTTGAATTGTGCTGGCTCTGCCCCTGATCTGCCTCCTTGTCAGTCTCAGCCAATCCTATGGGGAAGCATTGTGATTGGCTCAGAACAACACTTCTGATGATGTCAGCAGACAGCTTGCTATTTTGAGGCAGACAGGGGCAGATCCAGCAGCTTCAGGCTTGAATACAAGTAAGAATTTACTATATTTAGGGAAGCAAGAGAGCCAGAGGGGCTAAGTGGTGGTTTTAACACCATAGGGTCAGAAGTATATGTTTGTGTTCCTGACCCTATAGTGCTCCTTTAAAGTTCCTTTCCGAACTATAATTGCAGCTCTATGCTATTTTGTCTACAGTCACACACCAACTTGCAATATTGTGCTGAGTTGGGATGTACAAACATATTTGCAGACAGTAGATCATGGAATGTTCTGATCTCAATGTGAGAAATAGTTGAAAAGGCACTAACCATTTTTTGAAAACTGAAATAACAAACCTGAAATATGTTCCATGTACACCTGTAGGACAAAATTATTCCACATTAAAGTACTTAATTGCTTTTTCAGTATTAGAAAGGGAAATTATGATTTTATATGCTTGTATTAAATGGCATTATAACTAACCCTTTTCCATGTGTTGAATTGCAGAATGAACCCACGTGACTGTGAGAGAAGTGTGAAGAATTCATGTATTTTTAAAGGGGTATTCTAAGCAATATAACCATTACAGCCCACTATAATGATTATGATGCCTGGATTCCCCTAACACCATCTCCTATTTCTGTATTAAACTGCAGTTTTACACAAATGTAGGACCATGCGCATTATCAGTATAAATTCTGTCATAATGTGGCTGGTATTTATTATATGGTGGTGTCACCTAATATGCTCAGCCCAAAAAAATTCTGCATAATGTTAGACCGAAAATATGCCTTCCATTTGATCCCAATAGCTAAGAAACACAGTGTTTCCTCAGGTTTCAGTGCAAAGGAAAAGTTTGGCAGTGGACAGTTATGGTGTTTGGCCTATCCGCAATGCACCATACACATTCTCCAGAATAATGAAATCAGTGATAACCCATGTCAGACTAAGATGTGGCATGTGACTAAATGACATCCTGTTAATGCACCCAGATGGGCAAGTCCTTGCTTCTCAGAGGGACTATCTTGCTTCCCTTTTACAAGACCTTGGATTTGTAGTGAATTTATAGAAATCAGTCCTAATTCCCACTCAGAGCATTCTCTTTCTGGGTTTTGTACTGAACACCAGCACCAGGACTATGTCACTAGGAATTCCTCAGGAAAAATGGGACAAATTATTGGTACATCTGACCTTATCTCTCAGGCACCAGAGTTGGTCCTTGAGAGATCTGGCAAAGGTTAGCAGGAAATTAATAGCTTTAAAACCAGCCTACGACTATTCCCCTTTACTTTGCAGAAGAAGTCAGTTGTTTTTAGGGAATCAATTATGGTGGGTGGCCATTTTGAAACAAAATTCTTTCTCCCCAAGGTCAGAGAAGAGTTTAAGTCTATTCTGGTGTTAGAAATTCCACGTCCTCATCCCCTGTTAGAGCAGCCATTTGCGGTTACTCTTACGTCCGATTCCTCAAATCACAATTGGGGTGCGTTTACAGCCCAAAATGCAATAAGAGGAATTTGGTCAGACCAAGACAGACTCCCTAATATTTTTTTTTTATAAATTCTTTATTTTTTCATGCTAGGTTTTACAGTTTGGTCTGTAGAGCCACGACAGCACAACAAATCAATATAAACAAAACTGTTGTACAATGTCATGGCAGAGGAAATAAATGCACAGTTTTATATAATATAATCATGCTTATACTGTAGGGTTATATTCATATAGCAATCCTGCACATTGTTAGTAACAATAACTGATGTCTGGAGTATTGTTATGCAGGGAATAAGTGAGTGAGTGAGAGCTTCAGCTAGTGGTGGAGTGTCAGGAGATTCATAGTGGTACATAAATCGAACAAAAGATTTCATAACTATCTGTTTGTGATACGCTGATCTAGGCTGCTCTTTCATAGTAAGACGTAGTAGGCTAGGTGTGCTACGGTCACCTATGGTGTGCTTCCCCGTTGAACAGTAGTTGCCTGTAACAAATCTTAGTTGCTTATGGTGTGTTAACCTGCTAAGGAGTGTAGTGGCAGGTTGATCTGGTGTTGTCACCATGTGGTCGCTGATATTTAGCACTAAGGGTTCCCTTATGACCTGACACCGTGGGTGTGCTTGATAGGCAAGCTACATGGTTTGCAGACTAGTGAAATTCACTTGTGAGGGCACATTCTAGGTTAGTAAAGCGGCTGGCTGCCCCAGATGTCCAGTGAGGACCGGGATGTCCCCCGCTTGTCCATGGGGGGGAGGGGGGGAGGAGGTAGGCAGTGGCTTTGCTGAGGAGTCTGTCCCAGGTTTCATCTGTATGGAGAGTGGCCGCCTCTCCTCGGATTGTCCATGGGTAGGCCTCAGCTGCTTGATCGGGTTCCCGGTCATAGTTCGTCTCAAGTCAGGTGTCTGCATGTGCCCCCGGGTTTCCCAGTTTGTTTTCCTGCCGCCTTACTGGTGTGTCTTCCGATTTTTGGGGGCATATACCCCAAGTAATGTCGCTTGTGAGCCGGAGCGGTGTCTCGGCACGTCTATCCAGCTTGGCGGTTAGGCTCTGCCCCCAGACTCCCTAATATAAACATCTTGCAGTTAAGAACAATAAAATTATAACTCCAGGGCCTAGTTCCTCTAAACCAGTTATTGATATTGGTAAAAGTCCAATCAGACAACAGGACAGCGATGGCTTATATAAACCACTGAGGGGGCACAAGATCAAGGGGTTCTTGTATGGAGTCTCTAGATCTTTGGTCTTGGGCATTAGCAAACAAAGTTCGGGTTTACGCAGTATACGTTCCAGCAGAGGCGAACAAGCTTGCAGATTCTCTCTCTCGCTAGAGTTTGTCTCTGGCAACAGTTCAATTAAAGATTGCTGATAGAAAGCAATTTTGGCCAGGGACAAGTAGATCTGTTTGCATCTCAAAAAATCTACTTGGAATGTAGACCTCTTATTACATTTTTTTTTTTAATATTCTTTGGATAACACTAAAATTGATTTAAGATGGACTGCTATTGAGTTGGCTTATCTGCTGTCTTTGGCCTTGGCAGCTAGAGGAGCGGAGTTAAAGGACCACTATAGTGCCAGGAAAACATACTGGTTTTCCTGGCACTATAGTGCCCTGAGGGTGCCCCCACCCTCAGGGACCCCCTCCCGCCCGGCTCTGGAAGGGGGAAAGGGGTAAAAACTTACCTTTTTCCAGCGCTGGGCGGAGAGCTCTCCTCCTTCTCTCCTCCTCAGATCCTCCTCCTGGGCTGAATGCGCACGCGCGGCAAGAGCTGCGCGCGCATTCAGCCCGTCGCATAGGAAAGCATTTACAATGCTTTCCTATGGACGCTTGCGTGCTCTCACTGTGAAAATCACAGTGAGAAGCACGCAAGCGCCTCTAGTGGCTGTCATGAGACAGCCACTAGAGGAATAGGGGAAGGCTTAACCCATTGATAAACATAGCAGTTTCTCTGAAACTGCTATGTTTATAAAAAAATGGGTTAACCCTAGAAGGACCTGGCACCCAGACCACTTCATTAAGCTGAAGTGGTCTGGGTGCCTAGAGTGGTCCTTTAACTTAAATTCATATTTCAGAAAAGTGGTTGTCCCGGTCCCCGGGGAGGGTTCCATGTCATACTAAAAGGGAGACAAAACTTCCCATATTTCCCCAGATCTGGTGGAATTGGATTTGGTTCAAGATCCTCCTGAACAAAGCCTATGTTTAGTCAGCCTGTTACAATATTACTTTGACCTTTCTGCTGCTGTTAGAAATATCAGTCAACTATTTATTAAATCAAGGAATCCCTTTTGTCCAGCCAAAGTTAATACAATTAGAGGTTGGATACTTTCTGCCATGTCTTCAGGTGGTAGTGATGTTTCTGTTTTCAAAGGCCACTCAATTAGGGGCACCTCGACCCCTAAAGCAGCAGCAAAGGGCCTTCTCCTTCCTATTATCTTACAAGCTGAAAGGTGGTTGTCTAGTAAAAGCTTTGTTAGATTTTACTGGAGGCCATTAGAAGTTGAACAATCACCAGGTGTGTGCTCTTCCATCCACTAGCTTTGCTAGGTGGTTGTGCCTCCTGGAGGACAAATCAGAGTTTGCAGGAATCTATGATCTGCAAACTTTCTTTGTATGAGGGATGAGCATAACCACCTAGCAATAGCACCCGTCTCACCATCCCCTAGTGTAAAGGTTTTGCCTTCTGGTGGTTTATGTTTTTCTTTACAGATGTTAAGGTTATCTTGTGGTTATTCGGCCTATTTCTAACTGGTTTCTGTCTTTTAGAGATTATAACCGTACTCCAAGACAAGACCAACAAACCAAGGATCCACCTAAGTAGGAAGACTGGATGCTAGCAGTATCTGCAACATGGAATTCGCACGTGCTCCTTGCATAAAGAATCTGCTCACAGAAACTTGTTACAACATTTCATTTATCTTTACAGAACTTATTTTGTTGCAATTTATGATATTCCAGTTTGTGTCCTTTTGATACTTTCTTAAGCTTATACATTGTTACCTTGCTATTAGTTTAGCTGTGTGCAGTATGCAAACATTTTCAAGTCCATCTCATATGTCTCTACGACTTATTCAAAATTTTATTGTTTCCCTTACTATTGGGTTCTTGAATTATTTTAAGTTTATATGTTTAATTCAGTTTTCTCTACCCTTTGTACGCTGTCACTGGTTGACTGGTTTCTGGTATATTTTTCCCATGTTTTGGGTTAAATATATTTTCAGTGCTTTGTGGAGTAAGCGAACTTTCAATGTAACAATATACTCAATAATTCCAGTGATGCAGGGACAAGTTTTAGAACATAGCTTATTTTACGCATGCAACCTACATGAAAACCCTTGATTTAAATTTTTTTAGTTAGAGGTATACACGTACCCACAATTTCATATTTAAGATTTACTCCAATCATCGTAACCACTACTTGCCTGGTTCCCCATCTAGTAATGGTTTGCCCTCTTACCTGGGTTCCTGTCATGCTCTAAGTCTACTTGAGGCTCCAGTGATGCTCCATGCCAATGTAGTCATCATATATTGATCTTCCAACTGTTTAGTAGAAACAAGATTTCCATATTTAAGAACAGATTAGGGAGCTATTTGCTAAACACATACACACATAATCACAGTCATGCACAAATAACCACAGACATACACACAATCACACATATAATCACTGATACGCATCATCACAAACACACACAATCATAAACAGATGCATGCACTCTTTTTTTGTACCTATTAGAAGGTCTGCTCAACCTCCCTACTTTTCTCTGGGAGAGCTGGAGTGGAACCTCTTCGTAATGGCCAGTGGGGCTCATGATATCACTGTGCTCTCCTGAACAGGCCCCATGTGCGCCCTCTTATATGCCGATGATGGGACAACATCATATCTCCGCTGTCATCACATTGCAGGGAGCATGACAAAATTGTACAGTGGGAGTGCATAGGTCCATACTACCCAACAAGACTGAAACCCATTATTTACAGCAGAGTTGGCACCTGTCATGTGGATAGGCAAGTGCCTACTCTGCTAAGTACAGTTAAGCCTGCACATTTAGAGAAAAGTGCCAAGGCCTCCACCCCCTACCACAGGCGCTTTAGGCTGGGGGCTGAAAAATCTTTGGTCTCAATTGCTCCTCCCCTCCCAGTAGCAAAATCGTAGGGCCCCAATGTAAAGGAGTGGAAAAACACCAGGAGAATATTAAGAGTCTGGTGTGCCAACACAGGATATGTTCTCAGTAAAGTTTGTATGATGCAGTGTTTGCTTTCTAGAATGCCAATATAAGGATTTTAGATTGTGAAACTCTTAGTTTCACATCTGACATTTCTCAGTTTAATTTGGTTTACGTTGTGATTTGGCACATCAGTTCCTTGCAAACTTAGGGTAGAAACCAAATTAAATAGCAGCAATATTATAAATTTATTTTACACAATTAATATTTTCTTTAATAGTAAATCTAAGTATCCTTGCTCCATATTTATAATATCGCAAAATCAGTATAATTGTTATTTTCTCTGACAGAGAAACGACCCCTGGAAGAGTAATTTTCTATCACAAAATAGACTTTAAAATGCTATATCCTCCGAACACAACTTCTGTTGATAAGGGAATTGATCCTGACTTTCAAGAGCTTGGAAAGAATGTCTGTAGCAGTTTTAACTATTTTCCCTAGATGAAATTAAAATTTCAAGGTTAGATGAATAGCAACACAAAACAAGATATAGAAAAAAGGCATCAGTGCAGGTCATGATGTTGGTGGAGTGTAGATTTTCCATAGTTTAAGCATAAAAAAAAAGCCCTAGTAGCATTGATTTGGCACAAATATATTTGGTGCTGCTGAAGTTTACTTACAGACTTTTTACAACTGTCCTGGAAATCACAAGACAGTGTGTCACTGAGATACCCTGCCAAGAAAAACCAGAGGGAAACATTTTATGTTCTCTTCTGCCACCTGGCAATATAGTGGATGAGAAACCTAGCAATATTGGTTATGGTCCAGACATCATCAATGTGTGCAATTTTAAAGTACAATTTACAACATGGTGTATTTACTAAATGGGAACTTGAATACAGCTAAAACAGAATTGCACATGGTTAAGTCAGAATAGCTGCAATGAGCTACAATCTCCAACACAACTGTCTTATCAGATTGGGCTTAATTCAGAAATGTGCAATTTCCAGGTAATTTATGTGCAATGCATAGATTATTGGACAAAGCACAATACATAGAGTATTTAGTACAGAAAAAAAGGAAGGCAGCGCCATCCTTTTTTTCTTTTTTCTGTACCATTTCTGTTGTAAGGCCTGTGAGGGAGCCCTACTTTTTAGGTGTGCTGCCACTTTTTACTTATTTATTATTGTTTCTGTTGTATCTTGTATAGATAGAGAGCGCTGATCCCTTTCTTACGTTCTATAGAGTATTTAGTAAGCTAATGAGTGTCCAGTGAACATCTATTCTACATCAGTTAATGGAAGATGTATTGGTGAATTGGCATCATCAATAACAAACGTGGTTTACCTGATGTACTCCGAATTACCGATTTTACCACTTCTTACTATAAGAAGTTCAAATTGTGCTACTACACCTTACATGACTTATAACTACTTTCCCCTGGCAGACCATTCATACTACATAGATAGTTAGAAGCTAATTGTAGTCATACCTAGGAATTGGAGGTTTTTGAACTATTGAAATAACTATAGACTCATATTTATTCTTACTCTATTCACTGATGATGTTCTTATCACACAGACTTACTAATCACATTTAACTTCTTAACCTACCTTACGTTTTTAATGTTCTTGAACAATTTTCTATATAGCTACAAAATTAATTCTATTGAATAATGCACACATGCTAAAATTGACCAACCCAGATATGTTGTCTTGATTTTTGGAGTGTTCATTGATACTCTCAAATTAGACCTCTGTTACTACCTACCTCAAGGTAGCGCACATTTTCTCCTTCCTGCTGCATCTCATTAGCATCTGGAGTAGATCCATGATGGGGCACCAGGACAAGTACTCTCCTCACCCCTAAATTGTCTGGATTGACAGGTACCCAGTCTGGGTGCCTGTGTGCAAATCTACTTATTTAGGTTTTGGGGCTGGTGGGTGATATTGCATGCAAACTGAATAGCAATAGAGTCAGAGTCCTGTGAATGAACACATGTTCCCAAAACTCTTCAGTTAGATGCTAGGCTGTGAATGCCTTTAAGCATAGAGATATGATGTTGTATGCTTTGCACCCAGTGCTCCACAGAGTCATAAGAGGATGCTCGCTCGATTGCCACCCAGCCATTTATGATAAAGTAGGAGGGTGGTAGGGTGGTAGTCACAGAAGATGCAGTAGAGCAATAGGCAAAATTAAGATATGGGTAGAGGGCACAAGTAGGAAAAGGGGAAGTAAGGGAGGACACAAGTGAAGAAGGGGGTATGGACAGAGAGACACAGGTAGATAAATAGGGTATTGGCAGATTGATACAATGGGATTTGGTTAGAGGAACACAAGTAAAGTATAAGGCAATTGCCTAAAGACATATGGGACACATTGAGGGAAAGGGGGTATATGCAGAGAGAGACAAGTGGGAGAAAGGAGGATATATGCAGAGGGACACAAGTGGGGGAAGGAAATATAGGCTGAGGAACACAAAGGGGAAGGGCTCCCTCGGCACTGGGGACTCTCTTCCTCCTTCCGACGTCATTGGCTGAATGCGCATGCACGGCAAGAGCCGCGCGCGCATTCAGCCAGTCCATAGGAAAGCATTCTCAATGCTTTCCTATGGATGCTGGAATCTTCTCACTGTGAAAATCACAGTGAAAAGCGCGGAAGCGCCTCTAGCGGCTGTCAATGGATTAACCCATATGTAAACATACCAGTTTCTCTGAAACTGCTATGTTTACAGCAGGCAGGGTTAGTCCTAGAGGGACTTGGCACCCAGACCACTTCATTGAGCTGAATTGGTCTGGGTGCCTATAGTGGTCCTTTAATTAACCTTCTTTAAGGATAGAAAGTCTCACAGGATCTTTGCCCTGTCATTGTCAATTACCATTTGTAGCACCAGGCATCTGGACTTAAGTAAATCCAGGCATTATTCTGTGCAAATGCATCAGTACACAATCCTATAAACTTGGTTAGGCCTCTCAGTGTATGCTAATACCTTGCATCTGTCTGTGAGGGGTTGTCTATCAGGCCTCTTTGTATAGTCTTTACCTTGGGTCTTGTCTTTTGTGATAGATCCCCGCTTCTATTGATTTGTTGCTGACTGCCGGTCCCTGTGCATTAGAGCTTCAGTTCTGTCTTTCAGTCCTGCTCTTTCAAACCACTTGTGGGATATCATAATGTGAGTCACAGACTATCGGTTGATGTTACATCCACTGGAAGGGTTTATCTAGCCTTGAAACATCCACCTTATTAGTTTCCTCTATCTTGTCTCAGGCATTCCTTTTAGCAGTTCATCTTTGGGAGCCATTTTGTGATGTACTTGTGGAAGCTTTTTCAATCAGGACTGTGGCCTTGATACTCATTAGGCCCTGACCTGCTTCCTTGTGGCAGGTGTACAAGGTGAGATTTTGGGTGGAATCCTCCATTCATTGTGAGTATTTTTTTGTATTGTTATCCATGGTGTCCAGCTCCTCTCTTGGCAATGTTATTATCCCAGCTGGGTGTCTGATGACTGACAGGGCCTATGTATTAATGGTGTGGATCTTGATTTTGCCATTGATCTGGGACTTCAGGTCCAGCTTGACTCTCTGTTGTCCTCCTTGCTTCTTCCGCATGGTTCCCATGTGTTTGTGGCATCCCCATGTACTTGTAACATCTCCTATTTGGGTTTGTGGCATTTCAACTCCTTCAGATCTGGTTATACTCCTTAT